AACGTAAGATATGTTTCAAACAATGTTTTTTGCATGACACCTGATATATTGAACTTTAACTGTTTAAATCTAATACCAAGTGTTATCAGATCTCTTAGCATCGTCATTAATTACAGATTATAAACATTTCAACATGATGAAAATTCCCCGTTCAACATTCAGTAAGAAGAACAGATACAGCTCTATTTGTTCTTTATAAACATCTGTTGCTAAACTAGATTCTAAAACATAACAGGTTTACTTGGACAATGAAGATCAAACAACTAATGAGATTTTTATATATACTTGAAATCATGAGTCGATTGAAGCTAGATCACCATGGAAATCCTGGAACCACTGGACGGCCGTTTCGTTCTATTGTGGGACTCCTCAGCAGTGCATATCCACGATCCCGCCTCACGAGATTTTAACCCAGGATTTACCAGTCTCGCGCCAGAGCACTTAACCAATAGACCACTGAGATTCTTATATTTTCGAATTATATAAAAATACTGACCGATTAATAGATCTTCGATACCTTAATTGTTGACTTTGTAAACCTTTCTCGTATACAGTTCACTATCTTCTTATCATACAGAACTCCAATCAGTTAAAATCTGTTTGTAAGAAATAAGCTGTTCATCAACTGATGGTAGGTTTCAAACTATTGCCCCACAAGCAATCGGAGTGAACTAGGTTTTACCGAATGACCGACACTTGTTTGGAGAAGCTTATGTAATAGAAAGGATTTGTGGGAAAACAGTGGATAACAGCGTTCAGTATTGAAGTATGGAAAGAATTAGTATTGAAAACATCTGCTCATCTATGTAACCTACTTGTAATAGAACCTATGAACAGGAAATAATAAACTATGTCGTGAATCTAAAGTATGTGGAATCACTTAAGCAGTCTATGAAATCGTTTTTACTCGAGTGTCTGAACTAGTTGTCATCTATATCTAGCTATCTTTTCAGTGAGGTGTTAGATGAAAAAGAGTTAGCTTGAATTCAGTATTATCAGACCAGAATATTCCACTGATAAATGAAGTCACTAACTGTGCCTATAATCCATCTGATAAGCTGTTTGGTTTTCACACCAATGTCAACTGATTTAGTAAAAAATATTAGTTATGTACTCCAAGTGACATACGTTTAAAATCAATCATTATTATACAGATGTATTTATGTGGTTCGAATCCTAACAAATGATCAGTATGTGAGTGATTTGTCTCCTTTTTTACTGTTGTACCTTATTCAAATGATTCGGTTTAAAGCAATGCACTATACTATTAACTGATCGTTAATGATTAAAACAAGAGTTGAAATTGAATTACCAATATGTATAGAACTAAAACCCATACGCATCACAGGAAATTGCAAGGTTATAGAATGGCTATTTTGAACTTATATCCATGGAGATAAAGAGAAGCCTCATAAAACATATGATCCTAAACAATCTATATTCCTGTCTTTTACTAATTCCAGGTGGTTAGTAGTAGTTGATAGAAATCTAGGTGTATGTTTAGGAAACTGTGAACCTTTGTAAGATTTGAATCCGGATCACTTTGTGTCTCAATCACGGATGGTAATATTAAAATATCTGTGCTTTAAATAACCTTTCGTGTTACTAAGTCATTTGAATTAATCTATCCCTATGGAGTAACTGATTTCATGTTATGTTCTCCTTAGTGCTAAATGAACTCTATCAACCAAGTTGTAATATTAATAAGTAAGTTAACTGATTCAATACTTAACTAAAACAGAAGTAAGAACAAAATTATTATTTATAAAAGTAAAAAGAAACAATGTTTCTCATCAATATTTATGCAGAAACCCTACCTAAATAAATTGACAATATATTACATAAGCAATATCATTTAGTCTCTAGTCTAAAATGAAACATCTATCAAAGACTTGATATCCTCATTTCGATAAAAATCTCACACTCCATTTTAAATGAAGTGACATGAATATACCATTAAGAGTTGTCTACGCAAGATACTTCGGATCCGATGGCCAGACACTATCAGTAACAACCTACTGTGGGAGAGAACAAACCATATTTCAGTGGAGGAAGAAATCAGGAAGAAGCGCTGGAAGTGGATAGGATGCACATTGAGGAAATCATCCAACTGTGTCACAAGACAAGACCTTATATGGAATCTTGAAAGTCAAAGGAGAAGAGGTAGACCAAAGAACACATTACGCCGAGAAATGGAAACAAACATGAGAAGAATGAACAAAAGTTGGATAGAACTAGAAAAGGAAGCCCAGGACAGAGTGGGTTGGAGAAAGCTGGTCTGCAGCCTATGTTCCATTGGGAGTAACAGGCGTAAGTAAGTAAGTAAAGTAACATGAATATATACAATTCAGTAAATTAAACAAGCTCTTGTACACAACATATTTTTATTGTACCAAACACAAACTTTTTCAATTTTCCTATTCTTTAGTATAAATTTTTCTAGATGACTGTTGTATTCCGCTGAATAGAGTTTGTATAAAAACTATATTTTCTCCATATTGCAATAATACAATATGTAAATTGGTGAACATGTGGAATGCCTTAAACCATTTCCATGGTGTTGTTAATGGTGATGAATGTTTATACAAAACAATGCAGTTGATTCAGATGTTTAAATACTGTCGAATAATAAAATAAACATAATTCATTATCTCTTGTCATTTTGTTTATTGTAATAATGACTATCTATTGATTTATTATATCTAATATAATTTGTACTTTAACATAACTGACTGTTTTTTTAGTAGATGAAAATAGCAATATTATCCATAAACATTATAAGCAAAGATGGATAGTGGTTAGCAGTGGAATAAAAGAAGCGCGTTTCGTCCTATTTGGGACTCGTCGGCCGGATGTGCCTGCATCTCAGAGTAGATGTTCAGTTTGAGACTCGAATCTAGTACCGTTCGCTTCAAATATCATAATGTTATCCACTCAGCTACTAAGTTCTGATAGCCACTTGCTTGTGCAATGGGGTTAAGTTTAAATGCACTTAGAATATTTTGTTTGAATTTTCCCATTGATGTTTAGGATTGAAACTGGTCAGTCTCTTATTGGCAGATGTGAACATTGGCCAAAAAGTGACTGATCAGTTTCAGTCCTAAACATCAATGAGAAGATTCAAACAAACAATACTAAGTGAATTTATTCTCCATAAATGTTGATGAATAGATCATCCTATTTGATAATGTACTTTATATTATGAAAGATTAAAAAAATGGTATCCTTAGTGCTTAACCTAAACATAGGTTCCGTTCTAGCTTGTATCTATGAAAAATAATGGTATACAGTCGTGAAGAAATTGATTCTCTCGGTGGAATTCTGACAAGCAGGAACAAAACGTAATCGAAACCATAATATCCATATTAAATATCTTTTAATTACAGAAAGAAATTTTTAGCGCTTTTACATGATGCATTCCATCCAATTAACTGAATTTTGTGGATGCGACCTCCCTCAACGAATAACGATTTGTGATTAGCGAATATCAGATGTCGCCATCTATAGCAACGTGTTTGAACAATTATGAACATAAATTCAGTGTGAGTGAGTGTGCAATTATTAGGTAGAAAGAACCCATACAACATATTTGACGAGTCCAGTATTAAGTTAGATGGATAACATATCAGCATAGCTTCATAGATTTATTATGTATACGAGATTCATAATTATTAGATGATTAAAGTATTCAATGGGATTTAACTAAGAGTATTAGATTTCAACTAAGGTTATCAGAGGAAATTTCTGAGTTATGAAACTAATTTATAGATTTCATTATGAAACACTCATCTATGTTAATACCCGACCGTTGCTGCTACCTTGATGTGGTGGTCGGGCTTGACTTATGGGTTGGTGTCTGACGAAATCTCTGCACACATTCGAAAAGCCCGTTTGGATTTTGCCAACTTACGTCACCTATGGCGAAGACGAGAAATCCGTCTATCAATTAAGGGACGAGTATACTGCACAGCAGTTCGCTCTTTTATGCTTTACGGCTCTGAAACATGGTCATTAAGAATAGAAGATACTTGTCTTAAAAATATTACTCGCATCTACTGGGATCACCGAGTAAGTAATAGTGAGGTTAGACACAGGGTATTAGGGAATGATGATAAATCAGTTGATGAGGTGATGAATCTTCATCGACTGAGATGGTTGGGTCACGTGCTACGTATGCCTGAACACCGATTACCACGACACTCAATGCTGACTAGTATTGGTGATGGTCTGAAGAGAGTTAGGGGTGTCCAAACCAAAACGTGGTATCAGTGCTTGAAGTCACTAACTTCTAGTCTGAGCCATGTTGGTAGATGCAGACTACTTGGATCGGGTTTGCGCGACCATCGTAACCAATGGTTGGAGACTCCGTGTGACATGGCTCAGAATCGATCATAATTGCGCAGGTATATACACTGTTTATCTTCATTTAAAATTTGAGATTAAAAATGCTTCATATCTGTCTTCCTTCCTATACTATATCCTTATATACAACCTTTCTTTTATATATTACCACCACTAAATTAACTACTTCTATAAATCCGATGTTCATCTTGTTGTGCTAACTAGGTATAGCAACTTGGATCGCTGCATAAATGTGCCTGATCCTACGTTATATTTGACTGATTGACTGACTGAATATGTTAATATGTAGTTGTACACAACTGGCTTTTATTACTTTCGAAACTATAAAGTTAATAAACAAGCAGTACTCGATAACATTTTTTTCTACATCGAATAACTTCCGCTATTTTTTTTTATAAACCAAACGGAAATGATTGTAACGGGGGTATGTATGTTTTTTTCTTCATCGTATTGAACTGTCCCACATTCAAATAAAAATTACTTTCATTTTTTTTTGTGTGTAGATTATACTGAAAAGATTTTTCTAATTTCCATTAGAGTGAAATGTGCCCCTATATTGTAATGTTGTTAAGTAATTGAATAATAATAGAACAGTATATCATTACTGGTGTGTTTATAGAAATAGAAAGTTTCCCATATGGTACGTTTCATGATTATATAAATTATACGAAAGTGTACTACATTTTCTTAATATGCAGGACAATATAATCCCAACTTATTAATACATATAAATATATACTGAATTCCTTAAAAAACATTTTCACCCTGTACAAGAAATAAATTATAGTAATCCAAAAGAGAAACAGAATTATGATTAACCACAGTTGTTTCTTAATTTTGTTAACCTTAACATTGTATTGGGAATCAGATGCTTTTACAGGTAAGTGATGTATATATTCTTGTTTTTCCATGACTAATTATTGTCGTCCAATGTAACATCCAAGTACGTATATAGGATACATTATTGAACTAAACATTTTTCAGTATGACTAATGATGGTATAACCTTTGTACAAAAGAGCACAATTCCGTTTAATAATCCGTTTCCTATACAATAGGATTCCACTGCTAGTCATTATCCATCATTGCTTATAAAGCTTGTAACTTCAGGCAATATCGAGGCAGGATGAACATATGCCAACAAGAGACTGATCAATTGAAGTCCTAAATACCAATGGGAAGATACAAGTAAATAACATCAAGTGAATATAACTTCACCCTATTGCACAAGCAGGTGGCTATCAGGACTCAGTAGCTGAGTGGATAACGTGATGGCGTTTGAAGCGAAAGGTAATGGGTTCTCAGAGTGAACATCAACTCTGAGATGCAGGTACATCCATCTGACGAGTCCCGAATAAGACGAAACGCGCGTCGTGGATTCCACTGCTAGCCATTATCCATCATTGTTTATAAAGCTTGAAATTTCAGGTAATATCGAGGCAGTCCTCGCAAGATGCACATATGCCAACAAGAGACTGATCAATCGCAGTCCTAAACAATAATGGGAAGATACAAGTAAATAACACCAAGTGAAGACAGTTGAATGGCTGTGTGATTATGCTTATTAATCAAAAATAGTTATAATTAGATTCTACTGATGTATAACAAGATATCGAATAGGAGAAAATAAATTTATCAAGTTAAAAAGGAGATAATTAGTCATTTCTGAACATTTTCACTTATTCTGATTGTGTAACTAAGCTATTTGAATCATAAATTTTGTAAATAAAATAAAGATCGACTATTGGTAAATGTTTATTTTATTATGTACTTCAATATCCAAATACTTCATTTAACTAACTCCTTGCGTAACACTCATGATGCCTATGGTTAAACATTCTGGTTACTTAGTACACTTGAAAAAGTCTGTCAAGCCTATTAGATCAGATAATATGTAAAATACAAAACAAATATAGAAAAGTAGATCAGTATTACAGAGCTACTACAGTTTACCTTGAACTGATTTATGTCATGAGGTGTGTGTTGACATGTAATTTGATTCATAAAGTTTATACCAGAAGTAAAATGGAAAATTGTTTAGTGTAATCAAGAAATCTCATTTTAGACTACGTAGAAAAGTGTTGTTACAAGTCAGTGAATTACTAGCCATGCTTAACTCCGTTTATTAGTGAGGATAACATGGATGTATTATTCAGTTTAACTATTGTTTTTTTCAACACGAGATTAAACAATTCAGGAATTTTTGTGCTCAACCTCAAACATTATCACAATCATCTATTAACTTTCCTGTTAACTGAGGGTTCATTGACTGTTTGTGTTAATTTTAAAGGGAGTGTATTAAAAGAAAAAATTATGTAAATCATTTCTGAACATCATTTATACTACTGAGCTCCTGGGTCCGAATCCCGCAGGGCGGGATCGTGGATGAACACTGATGAGGAATTCCATACTAGGATAAAGCGGCTGTTCAGTTCTTTCAGGTGGTCTAGCTTCAATTGACTCATGAATTCAACTATTAAACTACTAAAATCTCCACAAAATTCTCTTCTGACAATCATCATTTGCAGTAAAACGCTGTTTTATTAAACTATTGAATTTCATAAAATATATAGACAATGAAGTATCATCATAATTTTCAACTTTAAAATAAATGTAAGACTAAGAAATACTTCACTGAATAACACTACATTGAATTTATCTTGTAAGGTGAACAACGTATTCGCCTAATTAGTAGTTCTCATAGATTTTACATTTTACCCTTCTTGTTATTTAATACCGAATGAATAAGTATCTATTGGCATATCAGTTCACTGAAACATTAACCCAACGAGTTACTTCAACATTTGAAGCAGTGGAAACTGAGTTACAGACTCATTATAAATATAAACATGAATGTAGAAACCTTAATATGAAAAGTTTGAAGAGAGAGAATCACGTAAACAACGTCCGGAAACAACTTATTTTCCGATCATCACAAAATATTTTTAAACCAAATCTTTCGTGGCTTAGATTCATTGTACTTCTTATATTTTTTTATGAATGGTAGACTTTTCAAGTATATTTACAAAGTAATAACTCATCCCTGTTGCATTTATGTGAAGTATATCAGAATAATAAATATTAGTATTATAACAGTTATTAACTGGTTGATTATCAGGAATCAGTGATAACTGTATAGTTGTTTAGTCCTAGTTTGAAACTTTCATGAAATCTACACGGAACAGAACCATACAAATTCAATTTCAGGAAAGAACATGATTTATTTGTATTTCTTGTTTAAAATGCAATGGTTCATATGTTCCATCTCAGCCAACTTGTTATCTAAGAGTGACTATCATCTTATGTCATTAGTAAGTTACAACCTCATTGCCGACTTTCTGATGAGTCATAAACTGGGATAAAACTATTGATGAATGCCCCTATGACTTACACAACATCTACATCTAATGTTAGTCTGTAATTAAGATTAATTTTTAGATGAGAAAGCCTTCAAAAAACTCGTAACTTGATGAATTTACCAGTCAAACTACAATTATTATCAGAAGGAGATTTTGTGGAGATTTAGTATTTTCATAGTTGAAAGCATCAGTCAATTAAAGCTAGACCACCAGGGAAAACGTGAAAGCACTAGAAGGCCGTTTTGTCCTATTATGGGACTCTCTAGAGGCGAGGTCGTGTATGCGCACTGCTGAGGAGTCCGACAATAGGACGAAACGGCCGTCCAGTGCTTCCAGGTTTTCCATGGTGGTCTAGCTTCAATTGACTCACGTTTTCAACTATGAAACTATGATTAAACATTCATATCATTCAACCTACAATATTGATTGTTTACGTTCTGTTTTTTTCTTCACAGGTCGTTGTAAAACTGAAGGAGAAAAATGTTCCAAAACAATATTTTCACCATGTTGTGCAAATTCTACATGTCAACTACATGGGATATTTAAAGGAGTTTGTGTAAAATGTTTACCTGAGAAACATTTATGCCTGTCCAGTAGTGAATGTTGTACAAATTCATGTAAATGGTTTCGATGTGTCAAAACAGATTAGACATGGATTGATTCATTAATTCACAATTAATGAATATTCATATACAAGTAAATTGACTAGTAATATAAAAAATATACGTTTAATTGTTCTTAAGACTTGTTTAACTACAATCAGTTCACTTATGGTTCAATAGTTATCATAAGTTGGATTAACAGAATTATAATTTTTTCTTATATGTTACAATGTAATCATATTTCAGAAGGGGTTTTGTGGAGATTTCATTGTTTTCATAGTTGAAATCATTAGTCAATTGGAGTTAGACCACCATGGAAAACCAGAAGCACTGGACAACCGTTTCGTCCTATTTTGGAACTCCTCAGCATTGGGCACCCACGATTCCGCAATCTCGAGATTTGAACCCAGGACCTATCAGTCTCGCGCCAGAGCACTTAACCGACAACTCCAATTGACTCATGATTTCAACTATGAAAATATTGAAATCTCTACAAAACCCCTTCTGATCTATAATCATATGCTTAATAGAGACTGAAGTCGAGGGATGTTTCCTTGAGTTCTAGTGGGAGGCATTGGCCAGTGGAGTTCTACCAAATCTGTTGTAGAGATATCAACTCACTGAAGACAATTGGTGAACGGTTGCTCAAACATCGTGGATTGGTTGAAGTTAGACATTAACACCGTTAGATGTCAGCTCAGTGGTTCTAGAGGTAAAGTGCTCTGGCGCGAAACTGGTAGTTCCTGTGTTCGAGTCTCGCGAGTTCGGGATCGTGGATGCGCACTGCTGAGGAGTCCCACAATAGGACGGAACGGCCGTCCAGTGCTTCCAGGTTTTCGATGGTGGTCTAGCTTCAATTGACTCACGATTTCAACTATGAAAATACTAAATTCTCCACAAAACCCCTTCTGATCGCTGTATAATCATCTAAAGAGCCATAGAACCAAAAGCCTTAAATGTAACACTTGGAAGCAAAATTGTATTTCCAACTAAGCCACAGTGGGGAAACAATAGTGTTCCCCTCAAATAACTACCATTTTATAGATTTGTTTATTTTCTAAGGTGGAATAATCAATCGTAAACAATCAACTCTAAAATCAGCACACTTTTGTTGCCTGACATAACAGTAATGATTTACAAGTCATCTTTATCACTAGAAACTCAAAGGACCTCTATTTACTCAGCCTAATGGAAATTATCTACAAAATAAATGATGATGAACAGTATATGTCTGAAGTCGAGGAATGTTTCCTTGAGTTCTAGTGGGAGGCAGTGGCCAGTGGAGTTCTACCAAATCTGTTGTAGAGATATCAACTCACTGAAGACAATTGGTGAACGGTTGCTCAAACATCGTGGACTGGTTGAAGTTAGACATTAACACCGTTAGATGTCAGCTCAGTGGTTCTAGAGGTAAAGTGCTCTGGCGCGAAACTGGTAGTTCCTGTGTTCGAGTCTCGCGAGTTCGGGATCGTGGATGTGCACTGCTAAGGAGTCCCGTGATCCTATTTGTCACTTAAAATCACATTGTTATAATAAAAGGATGTTTAAGTTAAAATGTATATCTATTGGGAGATTCATGGATAGGATTGAATCTTTAGTTTTCTTCCCATTTCAAGATTAAATCTAGAGCATTAGATTCAAGCATCTAATAGCAGAGTGATATGTCTCGTAGATTGAACGCTATATTCTGATCCTAAGCTAGTTTCGTAACCCACAAGCTAAATCTACACAGCGACTTGAACACGAGAGAAAAGGCGCAAAATATGCGAGGAGCACTTTATTTCAAAGATTCATTTATGTACAAAGAATATAGGGTTTTTATAGTATTTTAGAAGTCATTAGGTTTTCCTGAAATTTCTAGAATACTACTAAACATAGTATCAGTGTGGTAGTCAGCTACTCAGAACCTCTACATGTGACTTTTCATTTTCGCGATAATTCTAGCAAAACTTATCATCAAACACTGATTGGATAAAATGTTTCTTAATGTTTCCTGAGCTTGTCATGTCTATTGCAAGAAATTTTCAGGATCACCCCAACAGTCTTCTCATTTCAAGATTAAATCTAGAGTATTAACTCCAAACACCTAACAACAAAGTATTATGAATATTATACCGCATCACTTCGATAAGTGACTAAATCACTAATTGGTCGATAGAACTTAGTCAGTACTAAAGAATAGATAAACATGACAATGCTTGCTATGCGGTAACCAGTCAACGCGCATATCAACCAATGATTTTGTATATGCTTAACTTTCAGTGTAATACATAGCTTCTTATTGACTGTTATTTTTTTAAATGTCTTGACACCTTCAATATTAAACTAATTCCAGAAGAGAGAAAATTTTCACTGTGTTGGAAATTCATAATAGCTAATTTTCCGACATCATTTAGAACTCTTTTTAGCTTGTCTATACCAGTCTTGCGATGAATGATTCATGCTCAACAGTAAACGATCTACTTTCTTTTAGTGTTGTCTGTTTGAATCTTCCCATTGATGTTTAGGACTGCAACTGGTCAGCCTCTAATTGGAATATGTGCATACTGTGCGTATTGCCTTAATTCACAAGCATTGTAAGCAGAGATGGATAGTGGATAGCGGTGGAATCCAGAGTGCGTTTCATCTTATTCGGGACTCGTCAGATGGATGTACCTGTACCTCAGAGTTGATGTTAACTCTGAGACTCGAACCCATTACCTTTCACTTCAAACGGAATCACTTTATCCACTCATCTACTGAGTCTTGATAGCCATTTGCTTGTGCAATGGGGTAAAGTTTGAATTCACTCACTGGGTTTGAGTCTCAGAGTGAACATCAACTCTGAGATGCAGGTACATCAAGCTAATGAGTCCCAAATAGGACGAAACGTGCGTCCTGGATTCCACTGCTATCCATTATCTATCTTTGCTTACGATCCACTTTCTAGTTCTAATCTATAACCATCGACTTAACAACCTAATTGCCTTTATGTAAAATGTCACATGGGGTTTATGTTTAGACTGGTTAGTCTTTGAACTTTTATGAATTGGAAAGATTACAGTTGAATTAATTAAATGCCGCTCACATATCAGTAAGTAGATTCCATTACAAGTTTTAATTTGAAATTATGATAACTCTATCTCTGTATATTGTCTTTTATTAATATTGATGGAAATGACAAAATGTTTAACTCCAGAGAAGATAATATAATTTTATCACAGGAGCTTTTACGCAGAATCTTTAACATTGAAAATATTAACAGCCTAAATAAAACTATTTCGTTCAGCTTTCTAAAATTGGATTGTGTATACATAAAATGCATGGAACTTCACACCTTTTTCGCACCTATAAGCTGTTCCTTTTAGTTTCCTATTTTCTACTCTAAAACAACATATATAATCGAACAATAATGTTCTTAATTAGATGTTCATCAGGCTTTAACGGAATATACATGAATATTTGCGTCAGAATACTGAACCAATAAAGTCAATTTATGGCCCAATTATCATGATGTAATACACGGCAAAACCAAACATAATATTCGATCTAGGGTTTTGGAGATTGAGTTTGATTGTAATCATAAACCGATCAATGTTGAAACGCCATTGAAAAATTGGAAGCACCAGATGGCCGTTTTATCTTAGTATGAGACTCTTCTGCACTGCACATTCACGATCTTGTACAAAGAACTCGAACTCAGGATCTTTGGTCTCTTGAGAATGCTTAACCTCCAGACTACTGAGCCGGCATCCAACAGTGTTTGTTTCTAACTCCAATCACTACACAGCACTTTACAACTATCTTTCATTGTCTTTGGTGGGTAGAAAGTTGGTTAATGATTTTATTAAAATAATTAGATGATGAATAATATGAATGAAAGGAGGTGAAAAAAACAAATACAGGATGTGAAAGAATTTGTGAAATCACCTAATAGGCCATATCGGAGCAAGTAAAGGACAAAGGTGCTACGAATTTCATTGGAACACATGAACGAGGGTTGTGGGTTAGGATGCCTCTAGCTTCTTCTAGACTTAGGAGACGGGACCAAACCCCATTTGGAAATCACAGCGGTATACGATAAATCACTGGGAATGATTTAGTTTTATCTTCCATATTGTAGTGAACAAGAACACAAGTGGGGACAGTCGAATGTATTTGTACACAAAATTACAGAACATCATAATAAAATCTGAGAACCGTACAGTAAATAGTTAAGTGGCAAAATGTCAATCAATTGTCTCAAACTTTACTGTTCCCGCATTTCCATACCGATTGCTTTCTGTTCCTATCCTTTCCTTCTCGATTTTCTCGACCTTCTGCTATCACACATTCTATTCCTGACCAGCGTTATATACTACTTATGTCGATATAAGTAGTACGCACCACAATATGACCACCGTCAACCATATGTGCTAGTTATCGTTCATAACATTCTATTATTACTTTTGATATAGTACAATTAAAAGCTTTATCGCTTGGTACTAGATTTTGTGACTATGGGAATAGAATAAATTGACTAGATATCGGCATGCAGTTTCAGAATTTATTTTCACAAGCAACTGACTAGGTACCGACTTCACTCTAAGAACTAACAAGATTTAAGACCATATTGGTTAAAGTCTCAGAACGATACAAAAATAACAAACATACTTTGAAGCCTCCATTTACCAAATAATATCGAGATTCTCTAAATAAGCTTAGATAAAATAAAACCAATCATAAGCAAGCCGGAGAAAGGAGGAGGGTTACTGCTAATGAACAAAACAGATTGCGTTGATAAAAATAAACTCGATTTTGAATGATTAGATGAAATTCAAAAAAACAGCCACGTTAAGAGCATAAATTTTGAAGTAGAAAAACTTCAATAATAAGGAAATAAAGGATAATTACCCGAACCATTCATGATTCGCTTAAACCCGTTGGGCCGAACACGTTACAACTCTATGGTTTACAGAAATCCCTTGAGTAGGGAGATCCACGTCGTCCAGCTTTCGGCATCTCTAATTCTCCATATCATAAAACTGAGAAGTGATAAGTTCTAGTCCTGGATCGCCTACACAAATTAGTCTTTAACTGAAGCGTTTAAAACGTTTCCCACTCCATTTCCAAGGTGGAACATACTAATTAAAGTGAGAAACGAATGGTATCTTTGGATAGTGCTTCCTTTCAGTTAATAACTGAGACAATTGATTTTGTGTCAGCAACTAATTAAAGAACATATCAATGTTGGAATTTCTGAGTTTAGTCTCAAATGGTTATGTTTAAAATGCAAAATGAACGTTCATTTATTATCGATAAATAAATGGAATATATGGGTTCACCTCTAGCTCCTACCCTTGTCGATTTCTTCTCCTAGAACTAAAGAACAGACTCCTCAAGGAGGTTGAATTTTACTGCCAATACATCGATGATACTTTCACTATCTTTGACCGGAATATTGGAAAAAAGGAACTCTTAGAGCAATTTAGCGATACATACTCAGCAATCAGATTTACATGTAGGGAGAAACTTGGTAACAAGTGAAATTTCCTTGATATTTTGTTAAAAGGAAAAGAAAAAGATTCTGTCAGTAGAAGTATGTATGGTATAAGTTCTTCGACGAGCCAGTTCACATGATTTTTTATGTTTTGTGCCCATTCGTTACATGAGAAACCTAGTTAGATGTCTTGCAAGCAAAGGTAGAAAGATATGCTCAGATGATGAAATTAGGTTATCGACAAGGTTTTCTGAAGAAACATATATATAAAACAGGAATTTAGTGAAATTGATGCTTGGCCAAAAACCTCACTTCCTGAATCTACGATACAACACAGATGTGGCTAGTGATGTACTACAATATAGACTGACTAAAACAATAAAGAGGACTTTTAATGCAGCCAACGTCTATCTATCATTTCCTACCCTATCTATGGTGGTTATCTACTACATACTTCTTTCGTTCGCATTTCTTCACCCCTTTTTTCAAATATAAACTTTAATGTTTTTAATAAACGTTATCTCAATATTCATTTTTCAAAGTTGTTAGTCTACTTTCTACTGTGGAATATTGATTAAAGCCTTTATAATTTCTATCATAATTAGTATCCATGTCAACACACTATCAATTTGTACTATTTATTTATGTAAACTATTCCACTGTTATCACTAACTCATAAACTGCCTTGACTGATTTAATATTTTCATATATGCTTGTGTAAATATTTATACATATTACAGTGAAGCCTTTATTATTTATTTATTTATTCATTTGAACACATAAATATTGGTGCAAAGAGGCACCAGATATATATGCGCCACACATATCTCATTCGATTTGTGTGAGGGCTGTGATACTGCACAGGTGCCCAAACTGAAGCGGGTGGTTTTCTTAGAGGGCCACACCCCGAGCCTTTGACCTAAAGGTCTAATCCATAAGGCAGTGGAGCATCTTAAGGAGATGCAGTTCCATGGTAGACGGTGACAAACGATTGTTCCCTCAGGATACTGAAGCCCATGTGTACCATTGGTTTGGAATCAGAGTTTTCCAACTCCCTTAGATGAACCCTCTGTGTCCACCAACCCGGTTAAAGTGCCGGACATTCGCTTTCCGTCCTCTCAATTTTGTACACAACACCTTGGTTCGAGAAAGCAGTTAGTAGGACTTCCCTGTCAGAGGCTATATACTCGTAGCTATGTGAGATCATTTGGAGAGGGAGAGGTGACTCTCCCCACTCTCGGCCGTACCAAGGCATTGTTTACTTATAAATTTTCATCTAATTTACATTATATATCGCTTGATTAGTTATACTACTTAAATATTTTTGAATAACAATTAACTGACCGCCATTTTTGTATTTTTTTTGATTAATTATTTTCATTCCTTTTGAAAACTATTTTCATCCCATTTTTCATTTCTTTTCATTCCGTTTCGTCTAATTAAATGGCTAGTTTTAAATTTATTATAATTGCTCTATTCATTACCAATTGATCATACACTTTCAAAAACAAGTTCAGTAATCACCATCAGTTAGTAAATTTTTTAATCACACCCTAAAATTTCTAATTAATGGGTGGTAGGGAATCATAATGGCCGTGCAATTAATGCCAACTTATGCCTTTAAATTATGGTTGACATTAATTTGACGGCACTTATGATCCCCTACCACCCATTTATTAGAAATTTTAGGATATGAAAAAAAAGTTAGCAATTATTGATTAGACATTAACACAATCGGATGCCGGATCACTGGTCTATCGGTTAAATGCTCTGGCGCGAGACTGGTAAGTCCTGGGTTTGAATCTCGCGAGGCGATATCGTGGATACGCACTATTGAGGAGTCTCACAATAAGACGAAACGGCCGCCCAGTGCTACCAGATTTTCTATGGTGTTCTAGCTTCAATTGGCTCATGATCTCAATTATTTACCCATTGATTAATCACAAAACGTTTACCTCTTATATCAAGTTACTCATAAGTAGTGTAGATGTTAAACTCAAGATTTTTCGCAAAAAAAAACGAGTTATAATGCATTACAAACTGTAGTCTATAAAAAGACGTTTTCTGAATAACAGGGCGCTTTCAAAATATTTATCACTCAAACAATGATATTTATATATCTCGACATGTAAACCAATTACAATACCCTGAACAACATTCTGAATTTCTCCAACATCTATTCCCCGAAGTTAAACAATCTACACATTCTCCATAAAATGGTCCACGTAGTTTACATACACTACCATCGCAACATCTATCAAAAATAGTTTTTGAACATATTTCACCAATTCCTTTACAAGCATCTAAAAATATATATATGACAATAAGATATCAATTTTCAATTTATGTAAGTAAATAAATAAACTAAGTAGATACATTTTAACACTTAAATTATTATCACCAAAAAACTGCCTTCTGATAATGATCATATGCTCACTAGTGACTGGCTTCTTGAGGTAATTCTTGGAGTTCTATTGAGAAGTCTTGACCAGTGGAGTTAATCCATGTCTGGTAGAGACAGGTATCTACCTCAGTACAATGGAAGTTTGTCGCGCAATTTCGTGGATTGGTTGAGGTTAGACACCAACACTGTTGGATGCCAGCTCAGTGGTCCTGGATTCGAATTTCGCGATGCGGGATCGTGGATGCGCACTGCTGATGAGTCCCACAATAGGATGAAACGGCCGCACAGTGTTTTCAGGTTATCCATAGTGGTCTAGCTTCAATTGACTCATGATCTCAACTATATGGAAAATATTCTGATACATATTAGAATATTTCCAAGCTAACTGATACAATAAAGAAATTGTACCACTTTGTACGAAGAAATGTACTTTTTATCATCAACAAGGAGCATAATTGATCGTATTCATGAAAAATGTGGTATGGGAGCTCGAACTAACTGACTGATTCATGAAAAATGTGTTCCGAATTTTTATTTGCTCTAAGACTGGTAAACCACTTTAATACTGAGTTTGATTATTTAACCAGATATTCAGATATAAAAATAACATCAACAGTGGATATATCTGAGAGAATATACAATGTTAACATACGAATATGATCATCCAGATGTCTTCAGGGTTGTTACATTTTCCCGTATTTATCATAATGAAAACGCTTAAATAAATTTGACATGCTAAACGATACATTTGTCGATCTAACATTATTTCAGTTTCAAATATTCCCTAGCGTGAAAATTTCTTTTACACATTCTTCATGGTCAAAATCAATCTTGAATATCACAAGCCAAACAACTTTAACATTTATTCATAATGATATAAACGCCAAGCCATTTGAATCAGTTAGAAACTGTCTGGATTCAACCGTTACATGTATAATGCTCTAGGTGTTCATAGAGAAACGTACTGGGTTCAACACCCAGTGTAGTCAGAGAACATTTGTCTAACGAATCTCAGATATGATGAAATAGCTAGCTACAAGCCATCTTTTTTAGATAACTTGTGATATGATGATTACATTTGGGGAATCCTTACAGAGTGCACATATGTCAAAAACGATTGACTGAACTTTAGTCTCGAATATCGACAACGTGATCATTTAAGCCTTCACTAATAATATTGTTGTGTGTGCTACTGATGTCGGCAGACGTAAGTAGTATGTATTAACAATCGAAAGTGAAATGCCTGGAGACAGGTGATTGATAAAACCGAAGAGAAGAGGAGAAAGTCTGAGATAATTGATGGATATTTTACAAATGAAGTATTTACTGTATGGTTCTCAGGTTTTAACAAGATATTCTGTAATGATGTACTAAAATATATTTGGTTGTCCCCACTGGTGTTCTAGTTCAATACAATATTATAAGCTATTTTCATGTTTGTAAATGTCTTTGACACAAATAAAGTTCAGTTTTGACAAAACAAAGCACTAATAAAGGTACCTAATGTGCTAATTAACATTGTAAACACTTAAACCACTTTACAGGTATTTTATTTTATTTTTATTTAAAGAAATAAATATTAATACAAAGGGGCACCAGATATATATGCGCCACACATATCTCATTTGATTTGTGTGACGGCTGTGATACCGTCCAGAAGCCCAAACTAAATCAGGTGGTTTTCTTAGAGGGCCACACCCCGAGCCTTTTACCTAAAGGTCTAATCCATAAGGCAGTGGAGCATCTTAAGGAGATGCTGTCCCATGGTAGACGGTGACAAACTATTGATTCATACGCCAACCCTGTCAAAGCGCCGGACATTCGCTTTTCGTCCTTTCAATTTCGTAAACAACACCTTGGTTCGAGAAAGCAGTTAGTAGGACTTCCCTGTCAGAGGCTATATACGCGTGGCCATTTGAGAGCTTATGGAAAGGGAGAGCGGACTCTCCCTACTCTAAGCTGTACCAGGGCATTCGGGGGCACCATACTTTTTTATGACTCCTAGTAGCAAACAAAAACTTTCTGCTAAAATCTATTCACCATCTAAATAAAACACTTAAATGGATTTTATTGAATAGTACTTTTTATCCAAGGCACTTAAAACCCAAAGAGTTTTTCACTAAATTGATAAACGTTACTTATTAAACATTCATTTTAATTAAATTTAATCTTGAAATAATAATGGGTATTTTTTGAACAATAGTCAGTGTAATAACCATTATAATCATTATAATTAAATACAAATATCAGTTGTGGAGATTGTTGAGTTTAAATTTATATCATGAATGGGTCAATGTCAGACCACCCTTGAAAACCTAGAAGTATTGTGGATGCACACTGCTGATGAGTCCCATACTAGAACAAAACGGCCGACCAGTGCTTCCATGTTTTCAATGGTTATCTGACATTGGTCCATTCATGATAATAATCTAAATACAAATATATTACAAGGCTAAATACAAATATTTTTTTAAGTATTGAGGTATACTTAGCCAATATTTTCTTTATGCTTTACTATTTGGTTTAAATATCAACTAAGTATTTGATTGTAAAGAATATGCATTTCCAAAGAACGAATACTGTGGTGTGAGCTACTGATATCGAGATAAGTAGTATATATGGTGAGTAAGGAATAGAATATCTGACAGCAGAAGATTGAGAAGATCAAGAAGAGAAGAACAGAAATAAAAAAGCAATTTGTGTGGAAATCCAGGAACAATGAAGTCTGAGGCAATTGAAGAACATTTTGCAAATAGTGTATCATAGCATGGTTTTTGTATTTTACCAAGTAACGTTGTAATTTGCGCTAAATACATAGTTGGTTGTCCTCACCTGTGTTCTCATTCGCAACAATACCTTTTATCATAATGATAGTTTAACTTATCAATACTACTAAGACTACTTCATTGGTTTGTTTAGTGTTTTGTTATTTAATCTAATGAATGTCCCATAATATATCAATGTACATTTTTGTTACATATTAAACAAAACATTCTCTAAGGTCTCATATGTGATACTATGATTCAGTGATAAATAATAGACAGATAGATCATACTATTGTGTCACAAAATTGTTTAAATCATAATTATTAATTATATTTCTTAGTTGAATTCATGAGTCAATTAAAGCCATACCACCATAGAAAATCTAGAAGCACTGGACGGCCGCTTCGTCTTAGTATGATACTTCTCAGTAGTGCGCATCCACAATTCCACCTTCTGGATTCGAACTCAGGACCTATCGACCTCACATGCAAACGCTCAACCTATAGACCACTGAACCGGCACTCAATATATTAATGTCTAAATAGGACGAAACAGCCGTACTATTAAATTACTAAAGTCTCTACAAAACCCCCTTCTGATAATAATCATATTTCTGTTAAAGAACTTCTTTTTTGTTGAACTAATAACAAACTAAAGTAACAACGTTATCAATAATAATCTACTTATTAATGAAATAATGAAATTTAAAAATAGATCTCATTTTCACTCACTTACCAACGTTATGGTTTGTTTGACATGAAAATGCCAAAACGATAACAAAAATCAAACTGAACAATCTCATCATTGTCAAACAGTGTTCTTTAATGGCAAGCGTTGTAATATCTCGTATATATATATATCAGACTACTATTAAAGTTGTCAAACTAGGTAAATACGGATCTAATTTAATTACTTCCGGTATTTAAATGAACTTGTTGTACAAGTAAACATCTATACTAGCTGTACACCATCATACATTTATATGATTATTTTAAAACCTGATATCTCTTTTCAGATAGATATTTCTGGTGTTTTCGATGTGATATATTTCTGTAATTTAAGTTGAATTTAATTTCACAATTATAGTTGCTCTTTTTCATGTTCCATTCCAGTGAGAATGAAGTATAGAGAGTCCAAATAAACCTACTTTACTTGATTATCAGAAGTTATCTGTACAGTTTTCTTGTAATTTTCATGAAATTAAGCTTAATTAACACCAAGTATACTCCATCACATTATCAAGCTAGTTGAATCTTTAATCAAAAGGTGAGGCTCAATTAATGATTATATGCTATAATGGTGATTAGAATATGTTACATATTTGATATTTTCTCTTACAGTTGTATAGAAGAGTACAAATTACACATCTTGAGTTCCACTAGTAACTGCAATCCAAAAATATAAGAAAACTTTAAATCACAAGCAATATTCGGGTATCTGCTCAGGATGTCGATATATCAAGGTTCAGTACTTAATATCAACAACGGAGAAATATTGGTTCATGGAATTCATCTATAACTTTAGTGAAAGAGGCATCACCAACGACATTTAGGGACTATTATGCCATACAGCAAATTAACTGAATTCAGATTTATTTATCTACAAGTAATGTTTTGTTTGAAAAATCTGGGACTCTGTATTCAATTTCGCGTCTGGTTGCAGTGGCTTTAAATAAAGACAAATCAGAGTTTTCATGTTTCTCTGACAAATGTCTGTTTGCATCGACATTAGTTTCAAAGGTAGATGGCAGGTAATTAATTTCTTTGAAAATGAAAATAAAGACGTTCGGATAAGTAGTTTGAAGCCTCCATCATTTTTAAAAAGAATATTTATAATGCACTAAGATTAAACTGAAGCTAATCATTTACATATAATCCCTTTAAGTTGATCTTCATAAACATATATTCATTTGCTTATTAATGCAATATCTATGGTGTTTATATACCTTAACAAATTGATCTGTTCAAAAATCTCTAATCCTCATAAGAGAATCTAATGTAAATAATTAAAACACTTTTTTCTCTGTGAAATAAACTTTATTCATTATCAATTACTAGTGTGATGTGAATTATTTATATCCATATAAGTAGTATATGGTGATGGTCAGGCATTGAATGTATTTTGGCAGAAGATCGATAAGGAAAGAACAGGAACGAAACGCAATCGGTATGAAAATACATGAACAATGAAATTAGAGAAGATGGATTGATATTTACAGAATGAACAGTGAAGATTGAGACAATTGGTTGTTATTTTGCATATTAACTGTTTATTTTATTTATTTATTTAAACACAAATATTGGTACAATGAAGCACCAGTTAAATATGCGCCTCACAAATCTCATTCGATTTGTGTGAGGGCTGTGATACTGTCCAGGTGCCCAGACTGAAGCAGGTGGTTTTCTTAGGGGGCCACACCACCAGCCTTTGACCTAAAGATCTGATCCACAAAGTAGTGGAGCATCTTAAGGAGATGCAGTCCCATGGTAGACGGTGACCAACGATTGATTCATACGCTATTTGTTCCTTCATGATACTGGAGCCAGTTCATGTGCACCATTGATTTGGAATCGAGGTTTTCCAACTCCCCTAGGTGGACACGGAGAGTGTCCACCAACCCGGTTAAAGCGCCGGACATTCTCTTTTCGTCCTCTCACTTTCGTAAACAACACCCCGCCACGAGAAGGCAGTGAGTAGGACTTCCCTGGCAGAGGCTATATATTCGCTGGCCATATGAGAGTATTTCGATAGGGAGAGGTGACTCTCCCCACTCTCGGACGTACCAGGGCATTTGGGGGCATATATTAACTGTTTACTGAATGGTTATCAGATTTTAGTGAGATAGTTTGTAATTTGTGCTTAAATACATTCGATTGTCCCCATCCGTGTTCTTGCTCTCTAGATTAGAACTATTTCAAGAAATTCTCCTTAACCAAGTAGCAAACAATGAATTAGGTATTGCATTTCTTTACACCTTTATATGGTTTTCAAGTGATCCAGATTCTAAATTTGGATCACTTACACTTTTACGGCCGAAATGAAGTACGTAACATTCTTATCTGGCTATTTTGTGATATATTACTGAATCTTGAAAAACAAGAATCTTTGTTTCAACTATGATATCTGTGACAGACTATTTCGAACATAACCCAAATGGACGATATTTTTATGTTTATTTGGTGCCTGTTTTACATGATCAACTTTGGCATTTTATTTACCTTCAACCCAATTGTTCATCAATCATTATATATCTTCAAGCATATAGACTTTTTGCAGTAACTTAGTAAATGTAAGAAGAAATAAATCCAAATAACTTATCAAGTATAAGTTCGTGCAAATGAGGACTAATCATACTGCGCTGCCGCCCCAATGAAAGTCAATAAACCGAGGTTCAAATCTACGACCTACCAGTTAAAAGCCAAGTACTTCCCAACTAAATGATCATAATTCATGATTCAGAAATAAAATAGTACATACTAAATAACCCTTTTCTTTAGGTATCATAAATTACTCCGAAAAATTCAAGACTATTTAGAGCACAGACTTTATGCTACTTATTTTTATTTTCTACCATAATATCTGTGTAGATAACTAGATTTTGATTAATACATTGGGAAAAATGGAGCATGTATACGAAACATCCAGTATTTCACAGGTGATGTCAGTCTTGATTCTTTAGATCACCTGCTTTTATTTGTTCAGTTATGGAAAGAAAGCATTTTCTGAATTTGATCATCAACCTAAACTGATTCAGCGATAATTATGTTCAGTTGATAGTTAGGCATCTTCTTTCATTGATCACAGAATGGTTTTAACTAATCAAATCCACATCTTGAAAAGCTTTTGAAATTCAATATATCTCGTTACAATTAATGTGAAACAGAAATTTCACAATGTTACATCAAAGATAACAAGTCATAACTAGGAACACTAAGTAAGAAAGCATTATTCACCATAGTTGATCACCACAACTGTGGTCACAAAAGTTTGATCTTCTTAAGTTAATACTGAGGTCGACATAATGATATATACTGATTTCTAAAGTTAAGTAAAAACGTAATAACTTCAAAAACGAACAATTAGTCTTTTCAAATGTAGTAATACTGGAATCAGAATAAAATTTGTATTTTTCATTATGATCATCTCGTTCTAGAATGATGAATTGTTTAAAGGCTTAAGACGATTCAGCATGTATCTTAATTCCTTGAAAAAGCTTGGACCAGATTGCCAGGCAAAACGTTGGATTTAATTTAAAAAATTCATTCGCTGAGATTTTACAAATATATTATTCCTATTTAATGTCTTACTTCAACTCGGCGCTCAAATACTGTGAAATTATTCGTTCTAATTTAGACGAGAGTTCTTATATATTAGTTGAGATTGTTGTGATCTCCAGCTTCACCTTTGATATAAATAACTGTCATGTGGTAGTTGATCAACGGTCAGTACGTAACACTGAAAGTATGGATCATTAAAATGAATATTATTTATTAGCCACATTTGAAACACCAAAGCGCTCTAGGTTTCAGCATTAACTGGAAAGCGGATTGATCAATCCTACATTTGAAAATCCCAGTGTTGAAAAATTCAGATAATAAGTAGCTCATATTTCATGATCTTATCAATTACGTTTACTAGATGTCAAGGGAAATCATTTATCACAGTTTACAGCCCGATTTATTCATTGGTCTTACTGCATTCACACTACACCAACGTATATTCGAAACCAAATGATATTCAGCTAATATATACAGCTTTTTATTGGAATATTTAACCCAAACAAAATATGTACTTTGATATCTTTAATTATAATACCTGTTCTCAACTCTTTATAATTAAATATCAAAATTCATTAGAACCTGAGCGTAAATGTAACTGAAATTACATGGCATGAATAAATTGGTTGTTCATAGGCGTTTTCAATTTATTTTTTGACTGAGATCATGAATCGATTGTCGTTAGACCATCACTGAAAACCTAGAAGCTCTGAACGGCCATTTCATCCTGGTATGGAACTCCTCAGCAACGCTTATCCACTATTCCGCTCTCGGGATTCGAACCTATGACATTCCATCCTCGACCACTAACCCGGTATCCAACGGTTTTAATATCTAACTTTAACCAATCCACGAAATTACGCGACTATCTTACACTGTCTAAGGTAAATACTTGTCTCTACCTGACATGAATTAGCTCCACTGGTCATAGCTTTTCAATTTAACCGCTTAACTTCACTATAAAATTAGTGAGTAGTAATTTTAAATATATTTACCTAGTCATTTTCAAATTCCAACATCATTTATATTCAAATCATTCTTTTTGAATAGTTGAATAAAAATACCCAATGAAAATTCATCAAGTAGCTTTCAAAAACTCTTTGTTTGACTATGAAAAGCTCTTTTTGGTTGTGTTTTTATAACTTTAAGAAGTTTTAAATAAGAAATACTTTAATTCGATTAAAAGAAAAAATTCTATTCATGTCTACACAGAACTGTGTCTACAAATTAGGTTGCGTCGATTGTGATGCCTTCTATATTGGAGAGTCATCTCGTGAAATCTTGACTCAAGCGAAAGAACATATTAGGTACACAAAGAAACTTTCTAATAATCTTGTAGAACTGGATAGACTTCAAATTAAATCGGCAATAGAAGTTCACGCAATTTTCAACGACCACCAAATCGATTTCAAAAATACAAAAATACTACATAAAGGTTTCTCCAATTACAAAGAAAGGAGAGCAGCTGAAGCATTCCATATAATGCTTAATCCTACTGCTCTCAATAGAAAGGAAGGCCTTACCATACTTGGACTATTTATCCTAGTCAACTAGTCTGATATTATTATCCTTTGTCATTATAAAGGTCACACATTTTTCATCATTAATCGTGCACGCATACACACACAAATTTACATACATGTCGCATATGAATCACCTTGACCGAAATGAAAGGACATGACATTGATTTATTCAAACCTGTTTTCTGATTGATCGACTAATAATATTCGTGTTGTTCCATCGAACTATTTAAACTTTGATTAATGTTAATTTTGTTCACTTATTCTCCGAAGAAGTGGCTTACACTGAGTCATGAAACGTCGGAAAATCTGATTTTTCTACTTATTGGGATATTACAAATATATTAATTTATTTATAACAATCTACCCAATGCTCAATTTATTCAAAATTGGATGCTGGATCAGTGGTCTATCGGTTAAATGCTCTGGTGTGAGACTGGTAGGTTCTTGATTCGAATCTCGAGCGGCGGGATCGTGAATGCGCACTACTTAGGAGTCCTACAATAGGACGAAACGGCCATCCAGTGCTTCCAGGTTTTCCATAGTGGTCTAGCTTCAATTGACTCATGATCTCAACTATATGAAATTATTAAAAACTATCAAATCAAAACTTGGTAATGATATCTATGAGATTAAGATTGTTCATCATTTTCGGATCAAAATGGTCATTATCTTTCAAAAGTTTCTAAGTACTCGGATACTATCTCTGCTTTCATGAATCGGATTTTTGTTTTTTTTTTGTTTTTCAATAGTGTTAGCAACTAGATCACAATATTAAAGTTCATTGACTAATCTATATTTAAAATTCTTAATACATTTTAGATTGTAACACATTAAAGTTATAAGCAAGGATGAATAGAGACTGACCAGTTTCAACCCTAAACATCAATGGAGAGATACAAGCAAACAAACAAACAATACTAAGTAAATGTAAATATTAAAGTTATTATTGAACAATATTGAAAAGTTTGAATTCATTTTAATGCATTAATTGAAATGATATTCAGTTTAATAATGATGTTTTTCTTTTGTACATTTGCCTATATTACATTTATGGGAACAACAATTTTTATCGGATACACATAATGTACCCTCTTTTAAACATTTAACACATTTACCATGAAATGGTGAAGATAATTGACATGCTGTATCGCCACAACATCGATCAAAAACAGTTTTACTACATTTTTCACCAAGTGCACGACAACCTGAAATTGGATGTAAAAAATAGATTAAAATTTTAAAAAAATTAATCTTTTATTTTTTTTTTATAGAGTTGAGATCATGAGTCAATTGAAGCTAAACCATCATGGAAAATCTGGAAGCACTGGATGGCCGTTTCGTCCTATTATGGGACTCCTCAGCAATGCGCATTCACGATCTCACCTTGTGGGATTCGAACCAAGGACCTATCAGTCTCGCGCGCGAGCACTTAACCGATAGATCACTGAGCCGGTATCCAGCGATTTTAATGTCTAACTTCAACCGATCCACGGTTGATATTATAAAACATAGGGATTGAAAAAATACCAGCGGTAGAAGTTATTGATTGACGTTTATTGAAATGAATGCTTAGTCAACTATATAGACATCTTGGGTTCGATCCAAGTAAGGATCGTGGGTGTGCTACTGAGATGTTCCATACTAATATGGAACAGCTGCTCATTATCCTCTAATTTTCAATGGCTATCTACTTCAACTCAGTTTACGGTATAAAGTGTCTTCAAATATCAATATTTTACCGGCAATATAAATACTTCTGAATGCGATATACTACTGATTACTATAAGCATCCGATTTTGAAAAAAATGTATCCAGAAATCAGAAGGGGTTTTGTGGATATTTCATTATTTTCATAGTTGAAATCATGAGTCAATTGAAGCTAGACCACCATGGAAAACCTGGAAGCATTAGACCGCCGTTTCATCCTATCGTGAGACTCCTCAGCAGTTCTCAGTGCTCGCGCGCGAGACTGATAGATCCTGAGTTCGAATCTCGTGAGGCAGGATCGTGGATGCGCACTGCCACTGAGGAGTCCCACAATAGGACGAAACGGCGGTCTAGGTTTCCCATGGTGTTCTAGCTTCAATTGACTCATGATTTCAACTATCCATAAATAATTTATTATTTGTATAACAAAGTTATTTTTTCATAGTGAAACATCCTAGATATATTCTTCATCAATCGTGTACAAGTTAAAAATGACGTAACATATATTTTAGTCATCTATTCAATAGAGATCAATGAGTAAAAATTAACTAAAATGATAATCAAATATATTCTTACACTTATTTGACAACTTAGATATTTTAAAGGTATCTATCCTACTCATTATAGCAACTCTTCCACAATCAATTTTGATTATGATGAAATTTTGTTCTGCCCTTTTATTAGCTTAACAGAAAATGCTATTCGAATAGTATTTCTTCGTACTATTATGAAAGCTATTTTGTCAGACTAAGCATATTTCTCTGTAGTTTAAATGTTGATAGCTTAAATATCGCTCGATGTATATATGTATGCGAATCCTATTATTAGCCTTTGACTATCCTAGCTAAGCCTTATTCGATTTGACTATAAAATTGCCTCTGTATTTGCTAACGTGCACATATTCGCCTGTCTGCTTCAAATTCGCTTGGTATGTTTATAGCTTTGTTATCCGTGTTATCCGCTAATAAACTGTAGTCGACTCTTCTTATTGTTTTCTGATTTCAAACACCATTGAGATTTATATAATAACGGTTACAAAAATAATTAACTAATGAAGCAAAGCCACTACACTATCTTTACAGTTAACCATAATATCATAAACTCATAAAGAAGGAACTATGAATCGAAAATAAAATTAAAACATTAAATTCATGGTTTATACATTTCCAGACTTGAAGAAAACTAATCATCGTTACAATATTTGAATGATAAGTATTCGGTCACCTAAAATTTGTTGAATCCTGTCAGGTTTAAATAAACTGAAGAGTGCCTAACAATGTAGATAATCTCTGGTAATCTAAATAATTGCTTTCCAATTACGTTCTTAGGGGCCTGCCACAATGCACAATGTTTAAAATGTAAAAAAAAACCTTGACTGGATAAAAACCTAGACCCTAGTTTCAGTCGCTAGACAACTAGATGAATCGGATATGAAGAGCGCATTTTGTAATTAAGCTATAGTTCTGTTTTAATATTCATTGTCAGTGAAGACTGTTATACACAGGTCCAAAATGTCAGACAGTTTGAAGGTAGATGACATGACACACTTATCGATAAGATAATAATCAGCAAAAAGTCCTAAACAAACATAACATTAGTTACTAATCTGTTATCGACCAATAATAAACAAATTTGTATACCTGATTAGTTAATTTAAGGGGTACAACTAGTTACAACACCATTTTATAGTAAATCTCATTATTATAATTCAAAGCCACAGTGATGTGTTACTGATTTCTGATTGTTTTTCAAACCATTTCCTCATATCTCTTTAAGTAGTATCATATATTTATTCCCATTAGTAATATGCTGGATTCTCATTCTTTTCTCCTGGTTTTCGTGCTTTTATATAAAAATACATTCAGTCTTTTGACAGTCAAATTTTAGAATAGGTTAGGTTAATTACTGGAATTTAATGTCAAGCTTACTAACCATACTCTTTTCTGATTCCTTTATCTACAAGTAAATTATCCTTTTTACAGCCATTTTTTGTGTAAAGAATAGATTCCAATTTAATATAATTTGGAATAAATTCAAGCTGTGTCAACCGAAGTGTGCTATTGATCAAATGTATTACCACATTACGAACTGATGTCAGCTTGAGAATAGCTTTTTACAGTTGAATGATCACTCAGTAAGCCTCAACAGCAGTAGGTCTCAATATAAACAAAGGGAAAAGCAAAACTCACCGATACAACACAACATGCACCAAACGAATTACACTTGACAGAGAAGCTTTGGAGAATGTGGAAACCTTTACATATCTGGGCAGCATCATTGATGAACACGGTGGATCAGATGGATCGGCAAAGCAAGAGCAGCATACTTACAACTGGAAAACATCTGGAACTGGAAACAGATGTCAACCAATACTAAGATTAGAATCTTCAATACAAATGTCAAGACAGTTCTACTGTATGGGGCGGAGACGTGGAGAACTACGAAAGCCATCATCCAGAAGATACAAGTGTTTATTAACAGTTGTGTAAGCAAAATACTTTGGATTCGTTGGCCAGACACTATCAGCAATAACCTACTGTGGGAGAGAACAAATCAGATTTCAGAGAAGGAGGAAACCAAGAAGAAGTACTGGAAGTGGATAGGACACACATTGAGGACAGCAACCAACTAGGTCACAAGACAAGCCCTCACATGGAATCCTGAAGATTAAAGTAAAAGAGGAGGACCAAAGGACATATTACGCCAAAAAATGGATACAGATATGAGAAGAATGACAAAAATGGGATAGAAGTATAAAGGAAGGCCCAGGACAGAGTGGGTTGGAGAATGCTAGTCGGCGGTCTATGCTCGATTAGGGGTAACAGGCGTAATTAAGTAAGTAAGATCACTCAGTAGTGATCAATATAATTTATGTCAAGTTCTTCTTAGTACTAATAGAATTTTATTCATCAAATTGTAAGTACATATCAGTCCTAAATAACATCAATCGCGTAACCGAATAGCTTTGTGATAACGTTTCATACCATGAATCTGAATGACATAATATTAAATCCGCCAAAGAGAATCAAGTCCTTCAAGATTATAAATATTACCTTTCTGATGAATACCAGATAACAAAACACCTAGTTACAAGAGAATAACTATTAGTTGCCTACAAATTATATCGTTTCTTGATAAACATTAACTTTCAACTGACTAATTTGAAAAACAAAATAGTAACAATAAAAAATTGTGTATATTTCTCACCTTTCCCATGGCTGTTCTCCAACAATATTGTCAAAATAATTGTAATAAAGAAAATTGATACTTTCAGCATATTCTTTGTTAAATGTTTGTTTTATTAAAACAAAAAAAATCTCACTCTATCAACGAGATATATATATATATATATATATATATATATATATATAGAAACCTTCTGAGTAACCCCAAAAAAGGACGCCTAGTTTACAGTTATTAACTTGTATAATATATAATTAGAATAAAATGTTTTTTCTATGGTTATTTGAACTATACATAACAACAATATTATTTGTAAAATAAGGCTATATCAAGGTAGCAATACGCACAGTATGTATATATGCCAATATGTGAGAGACTGACCAGTTGCAGTTCTAAACATCATCAATGGGAAAATTCAAACAAACAATACTAAGTTGAATTTAACAATATTATCTATTTGTAAATAATACTTCATTCCCTCCCTCCCTCCCTCCTCTCCCCCCCCCGAAAATTTCTTACTTAATTGCTTATAACTAATTTATTATCTGACCTTAGTTAATTACCGGAAATAAGTATAAAACTAATTATTTCTTATATACATGTTTACTGATTGATGTGATTTCTATTTATAATAACTATCTATTTAATTTGAACTTGGATTAGTGATAATTTAGTTTGCTTATTCTCTGAAGAAGTGGTTTACACGAAGTTACGAAACATTAGAAAATCTAATTTTTCTACTCATTGGGATATTACAAATATACCCAATGTTAAATGTATTCAAAATTATCATATCGAAATTTGGTAATGATACCTATTTGATTTGATGCAGATACATCCAGCTGATGAGTCCCAAATAAGACAAAACGCGCATCCTGGATTCCACTGCTAACCACTATCCATCTCTGCTTATTTGATTTGAAATTTATTTGTACATTTGTGCATTTTAAGTTTTGAATCTGCTAAAAGTTTAAGATGGTAATATTATATAACTGTGAATATTCATGAAGTTCTTTCTATGAAGTCTATTTATTTGATCTTTAAAAATTTTTTAAACGGAAATGATTTTTATTGACTTGTAACAATACTAAGGTTTATCGATAAAATTTATTCGGAATCTTCAAGTGTTAATCTTAATAGTTGAAATCATGAATCCATTTAAGCTAGATCACCATGGAAAACCTGAAAGTACTGAAAGGTCGTTTCGTCCTATTGTGGGATTTCTCATTCAGATGCTAATTGTTGAAAACTGAAGACATAATAATCAGGCAAATAAACCCCAACTATGAGCAAAAATACATAATTATTATTCAGAACTTTATCTATTTTCATGATGATATTACTACCGGATCAGTTACAATGAACCAATCAAATTATGAAATTTATCGAAACTACTCCTGTAATATTTACTCCTGTTGAATTAGAAAACATTTATTATTCGTAGTATACCGAATACCTAGTTATTCATCTCATAATGAAACCGTTTCGCTATGCTTCTGCATTGAATGGGTATTATTCAAATCATTCGCGAGTGAATACTAAACCACGTCGATTAGTTTATCCACTCATACTTTTTCACTAATCTAGTACCCGCCTGTATGTCAGATGTAAACTTATTAACGGTTGAAAGTTTGATTGAAATTGTAGCTCTTAGACGTTATCATTTGCCGACAGAGCCTATGCGAAAACTAATCATGATAAAACATTCAATGGTAGGAAAATTGAAATAATAGTTTACTATAGTTAGTCTTTAGAGTACGTTGAAGTGACTCATGATAGCATAAACTACTTATTCAGTAACAGAAGTCCTGTTTTAAAGAATTAAAAGATATTAGGTTGTGAGAAAATGAAGAATAGAGGTCGATGAATATTCAGAAGCTCAACGTTGTCATATTTACCAAGATTAAAGAAGGGTAATATTGTTACTTGAATCACATTTAAGGTATATGTCTTTGCTTTGTCAAGAATGATATGGTCTTTTAACCCTTTGGTTTATCAATAGTTGATTGATTTGAAAATAATTTCCATTATAGAATGAGATTAGGTGAAGGAACATTGAGAATCAGAGATCATTTAACATCTCGTTTATTATAATTTAGAACTTATCATTAGTGAGCATCCACAAACTAATTTTTTACTGAATCCAAAATATTTTTACAAGTCAGTTAGTCCCGCATAATTCAACTAGTTAACAACAGTCTGAATCAAATGAATATCTAAAAACATCTGTTCTGAAGAATAATTAAGTGCTTATTAGAGACATTCAAAACGCATATCCCAGAAAACTGATGAAAAACTATGACCTTAGTCATCAAACCGATATTAGGAAAGACAAATATCTATCGACGACGTTGCCCGAAAATTACAAGTGGCGAATCATCAAAAGTGTAAAATTTTAATCAACTCAATCTGTGTGACATGCAGATCCTAACTTTGAAACTGCGTGAGATTTTCAGTGCACACTGTGAAAAATTCTTAAGCTAAAATAAATTATATCTTTAATGGTCACTAAGCTCCAATCATTTTTCAGCTGAGATCGACTTTTTATTTTATTTAAACACATAAATATTGATACAAGGGGGCACCAGATACATATGCACCACACAAATCTCATTTGATTTGTGTGACGGCTGTGATACTGCACAGGTGCCCAAACTGACGTAGGTGGTTTTCTTAGGGGGCCACGCCACCAGCCTTTGACCTAAAGATCTGATCCACAAAGTAGTGGAGCATCTTAAGGAGATGCAGTCCCATGGTAGACGGTGACCAACGATTGATTCATACGCTATTTGTTCCTTCATGATACTGGAGCCAGTTCATGTGCACCATTGATTTGGAATCGAGGTTTTCCAACTCCCCTAGGTGGACACGGAGAGTGTCCACCAACCCGGTGTAAGCTCCAGACATTCACTTTTCGTCCTCTCAATTTCGTAAACAACAGTAATGCCACGAGAAGGCAGTGAGTAGAACTTCCCTGTCAGAGGCCATATGCGCCTGGCCATGTGAGAGCATTTCAAAAGAGAGAGCGAACTCTCCCCACTCTCGGCCGTACCAGGGCATTTGAAGTGATATGTAATAATAACCAAATGAGTTCTTTTATGATTCTAAATGCAGATATCAGTAGCAATATGAAACGTCGTATGGTTATAGATAGATGACAACTTTATTAACATGTTACTTAAAGTAAAACTATTTTAAAAAACCATCTCCTTCATTCGAACAGTTTTCATCTTATCTTGGCACTCTTCCTAATGTAAACAGTCAAGAATGCTCATTCACTATTAGTGTAGTGAACAAAAACACTAGTTTTGGATACATTCGTATGTATCTAGTAACAAATTACAGACTATCTCACTAAATTCTGATAACCATACAGTAAACAGTCAATTTGCAAAATAACAACCATTTGTCTCAATCTTCACTGTTCCTTCTGTAAATATCAATCCATCTTCTCTAATTTCATTGTTCATGCATTTTCCTACCAATTGCGCTACATTTAAGTTCTTTCCTTATTGGTCTTCTGCCGAAATACATTCTATGCCTGACCACCACCATATACTACTTATATGGATATAAGTAGACCACAATACATTAGTAATAAATAACAATTATTTGCAAATAAATAATCTATATTCCAATTTATAAAATGTAATCATTAAAATAAAGTAACTAAATATATACGTTACACTTTGTAACCAAGATACACTTTTTTTATTATTTACATCTAAATAACCAGCAGTTCCTTGAACAACATTCTCCATTGTGTAAACATGAATAACCAGTTTGTATACATCTAACACATTTTCCATTGAATGGTCCTGTAAGTTGACATACATTGCTACCACAACATTTGTTAAATACAGTTTTCATACATGATTCTCCATATTCTTTGCAAGCACCTGGAATAAATGTAAAGCGAAAAAAAAACAACTTAAACATGTCTAAAATGTCGTCTCTATCTTTACAGTGGAACTGATAGCAGACTAGTTGTCAATCTCATTTCCTTTCACTGATAGGATAAACTAATAGATCTCTGAAACAAGTTATGAGTACTTTCACTTGTGAATAAATTCTTTGAAATTGTAAAACGATCAGATCACTACAAGTGATGAAGGAACTTAGATGAATTTCGATTGCTGATAATGGTAAGTACTTCTGAGAAATGTTCACAGACAAACAGAAATGTTTTTGGATTAATTTTTACTAATAACTGACGTAATTTGATGAAACATCGAAAACCAAATAGCAATGAATAGCTACTCTGAGAATTCTTCAAAATCCCACAAAGGATTGATTTTGGGACCTTGATGTGTCATAGCAAGCATAATATCTTTAAAACACTGAATTCAAAGCTTAGAGTTGTTTTTTCTTCTTTCACTTTTCCATCCCTATTTGTCAATGATATCGGTCCATAACTAAAATTAGCTTAAAAACTGAACAATCTTTGTTAGAAATATCCTAGAAATGTGTTTATCACTTCTTAATATTTAAGGCCTATTATGTAAACTAACTTTTGTTCAAATGTTAAAATTATGTTTATATGAAGTTGAATATAACCTACGTACCTAGTGATGTTTCTTCTAACTAAAACAGCCAATGAGATAGTATTAAGTTAATTATTATGTAGTTGTGAAGATTGTTGAGTTTTAATTGGGACCATGAACCGATCAATGTTAGATCACCACTAAAAACCTGAAAACATTTGATAGCTGTTTCGTCCCAGTATAGGACTCCTCATCAATGAACATTGCTAACAACTAAAACTCATTATATTTTTTCATCGTTTCATTGAAATCAAACACAAAATGGAATTAAGATCAGTAATCATGATTTCATAATGCAAATTTCGCAGTCATTCTCAATTTTTTTTTAACTTTCAAACATCTTACAATGAAATATAAGTTGTTAGTAGCAAACGAAGTAGTTTTTTAGATTTTAGTTGCTAACCACTTACAAACTGAGAAAAACCGTTAGAAATATCCACTGAATCCATCTTAGAGTTTATTACTTAGAGGGATAGTATTGACTAAGAACAAAACTGGTACTAGGAGAAATACTATATATATCCACTAATAGAAATGAATAGTATTCATAATGAAAACTACTTCTTGAGTCGAATTCTGCATTGATGTAATGGAACCGAAATGAAATGATTAAGAGAACATGATTTGGATTTCACTGGTTAAATTAGGTTAAATTAATTTATAAAACCTACCATCAATCTGAACAATCTTCCATAATACTGTGCAAATGATTATAAACTCAATTTTAAAACAGAACCTCATATTCTTCTGTTTAACAATGGAACAGTATATATATATATACATTCAAACAGGATGTAATCATTTAAGCAATTAAGTCAGTCTATGATTTGACATAACTACAACACATTGTTGAATAAATTTAAAAGTTGCATTTATTTATTTATTTAAATAATAATCCATTAGACATTAGAAAAAATCGCTGTTTTTCAAGTTATCGTTAAAGAAACTTCCTGTAGTAGATAGTTGTTTCTAGGTGTACTTGGGTGGTGTGGGTTACTGATATCCATATAATTAGTATATGGTGATGGTCGGGCATTGGATGTATTTCAGTAGAAGATCGATAAGGAGAGAACGGAAGCAGCATGCAATTGATACGAAAATGCATGAACAACTATAATCAGAGACTATGGTCAGATATTTGCAAAGGGAACAGTCAAATTGAGACAATTGATTGTTATTTTGCAAATTAACTGTTTATTATATGGTTCTCATATTTTAATGAGATATTCTGTAATGTTATGTTATGTACATTCGATTGTCCCCACTCGCGTTCTTATTCACTACACCCATTCCAATCCTCAAATAACTATTATTATTATTATTGGAATCACGTAGTGACACTGTAATGAACAAGAACACTAGTGGGGACAGTCGAATGCATTTAAGCACAAATTACAAACTATATCACTAAATTCTGATAACCATACAACAAACAATTAATTTGCAAATTAACAATCAACTGCCTCAATCTTCACTGTTCATTCTGTAAATATCAGTTCATCTTCTCTGATTTCATTGTTCATGCATTTTCCTACCAATTGCGCTTCATTTCAGTTCTTTCCTTATTGATCTTCTGCCGAAATACATTCTATGCCTGACCATCACCATATACTACTTAAATGGACATAAGTAGCTCACACCACAATACTAAGCAATTGTCCTGTAAATCATTTAACCAAGATTCTTGAATCTTGATAACACCAAAATCACGATACATGTTTTGATTTAGTAGGAATTAAAGATAGTCCACCTTGTTAATTAGTGATTGGCAGATAGGATTTAGCAGCTTGGGTATCGACATTTGATTAATGTTCATTCTCTTTAATGTATATTGCCAATCACCATGATGTCTCTTATTGTACTTTTTTATAACTTGTGCAGTGAAAGGTTGTAAACTTTTTATAAACTTACCTGTATTGGTTATGCAATTAGTAGACATAATGAGGTGTTAAAACAAAATAAAAAAACATAACTTGTTTAAATATATAGATGGTAGAAACATATAACCCGGATAATCAAACAGGCCGCCGATTCGATTTAATATGTTAACTATATCTAGTTAATAGGAAAACTCTAAAAGAACCTATGATATTACTAGGGATAATAATAAGCAAATATCATTTCGTAATTTTTCTTATTGAGCTCTTTCATTGAGACATTGAATAGATTGTCCACTTAAAACTAGTAAATTAAATTTTATTATCACAAGGGGGGTTTTTTGTGGAGATTTAGTAATTTTATAGTTAAGATCATGAGTCAATTGAGGCTAGACCACCATCGAAAACCTGGAAGCACTGGACGGCCGTTTCGTCCTATTATGGGACTCCTCAGCAGTGCGCATCCACGAACCCGCTCTCGCGAGATTCGAACCCAGGACCTACCAGTCTCGAGCCGGAGCCCTTAACCGATAGACCACTGAGCTGGCATCCAACGGTGTTAATGTCTAACCTCAACCAATCCACGAAATTGCGCAACCAACTTCCAATGTACTGAGGTAGATACCTGTCTCTACCTGACATGGATTAGCTCCACTGGCCACGACTTCTCACTAGAACTCCAGGAATTACCTCAAGGAGCCAGTCACTAGTGAGCATATGATCATTATCACAAGGGGGGTTTTTTGTGGAGATTTAGTAATTTTATAGTTAAGATCATGAGTCAATTGAGGCTAGACCACCATCGAAAACCTGGAAGCACTGGACGGCCGTTTCGTCCTATTATGGTAGGTCCTGGGTTCGAATCTCGCGAGAGCGGGTTCGTGGATGCGCACTGCTGAGGAGTCCCATAATAGGACGAAACGGCCGTCCAGTGCTTCCAGGTTTTCGATGGTGGTCTAGCCTCAATTGACTCATGATCTTAACTATAAATTTTATTAACTATCGAGCATTGCTTTTTGAGCTCTGTCGCTGACTATAGGATATAACCATGAATAGGGAACCAATAATTTGTATCAAAATATGTTGTTTTATACAATTTATTTCTAGGTCAAGTAAAATGCTTAACAAAATTTGATTCTTTAAATAGTAGAGGAGATTATGTTCAAAATATGAACTCAATCACAGTGTGATTGATCTTTTTCGATACGTAGTTATTTTAATAGGTCACCAAAACTTTTCATACTGATAACACTTTCTCAGCAGATATCACCTGGAGATTAGGTATTCTTGATCCATGTTTTTTGGAATTCTATCTTTCCTATATCTATCGTCAAAAAGGTACAAGTATTTATAAACAATTGTTTACACAAAATACTAAACATTCGCTGGCCATATACAATCAACAACAGCGTTTTATGGTAGAGGACAAACGAGCTTCCAGCTGAAGAGGAAATTACGAAAAGACTTTTAAAGTAGATGGGGCATACATTAAGGAAATCACCAATGTGCATTACAAAGTAAGCCCTAACTTGGAATCCTGAAGGCAAGCGGAAAAGTGGAAGGTCAAAGAACATTACGCCGGGAAATAGAATGATGAATGAAAGAATGAATAACAACTGGGAAGAACTGCCTTGGACAGAGTTGGATGGAGAATGCTGGTGAGCGGCCTATGCTCCTCCATGAGGGGTAACAGGCGTAAGTAAGTAATCATTCCTATAGTTACAGAGTTTTCAGATGTAACATCTTTCAAGAGTAAAGAGTAAATAACTATTTAGTCAGGACAATACGCTTCGGATTCCCAAATACATTTTGATCGAAAAATTTCAGTACTGTCAGTTATTATGAAGTAACTTTTATGCTCAGTGAATAAATGTAAAAGACCAAATTTACAGTAGTTGATACGGTTCTATGTAGTATATGTTTCTAAATTACCGATAAAACTAAACTCTTATTTGATCTATTACATAAGATTGATGAGATTTATAAAATAGCATAAGTTGAAAAGTATTCCATTACAATTTCTACTTTTTTACATGATCGAACTTTATTCATCCCTTGATAAAACCGATCGGAATGAACCAGGTCCTTCCCAGACCATGTTATGAAGTGTTTTTTAATGTTAACGTCATCCAATGCTATGCGCCTACCAACGACTACGATGAAGACGTTAAAGATCGACTCTACGATAAGCTGCAGTCAATCGTTGAGAAATGCTCAACAAAGGACCTGACCATTCTGATGGGAGATTCAAATGCCAAGGTTGGAATGAACAACATCGGATATGGAGACATCATGGTACGACATGGACTAGGAGAAAGGAACGAAAATGGTGAGAGATTTGCAAACCTATGTGCCTTCAATAAACTAGTCATGGGAGGCACAATATTCCCACACAAACGCATTCACAAAGCCACATAGACTTCACCGGACCACACTACGCATAACCAAATCGACTATATCTGCATCAACAAAACGTTCAGGAGGATGATGGGGCATGTGAGAACCAGAAGAGTAGATGATATAGCATCAGATCATCACTTGCTGGTTGCCAAGATGAAATTAAGATTCAAAAAGTATTGGACAACGGGGCGAACAACATAACAAAAGATTAATAAGACTTTGGTTTGGGATATTGAGAGACTCAATGAGTTCAAGATAGCCCCCAACAATAAGTTCCAGGTCTTTCATGATCTACTCAATGAAGAGGGAACTACTATGGAGAGCAACTGGGAAGGAATCAAAGAGGAAATCACTTTAACATGTTAAGAGGATCTGGGCTACAAAAGGCACCACCACAATAAATGGATCACTGTTGATACACTGGATAAGATTGAATAAAGGAGGAACAAGAAGGCAGCAATCAATACCAGCCGAACAAGAGCAGAGAAAGCCAAGGTACAGGCCGAATATACAGAAGTAAAGAAGCAAGTGAAGAGGAGCGTCAGGACCGACAATCGTAAATATGTGGAAGATTTAGCAATGACGGCGGAAAAGGCTGCAAGAGAAGGAAACATGTAACAACTGTATGACACAACAAAGAAATTTGCTGGAAATTACCCTAAACCAGAACGACCAGTGAAAGGCAAGGAAGGCAAAGTAATCACCAACATTGAAGAACAACGAAACAGGTGGGCAGAGCACTATAAGGAACTCTTAAGTCGACTAGCTTCACTGAACTCACCCAACATCGAATTAGCACGCACGGACCTCCCAATCGATGTTGGCCCGCCAACAATTGAAGAGATCAGCATGGCCATCAGACAAATCAAGAGCGGCAAAGCAGCAGGACCAGAAAACATTCCAGCAGAGGCACTGAAAGCAGATGTGGCAGCAACTGCAAAGATACCCCACATTCTGTTCAGTAAGATTTGGGATGAAGAACAAGTACCAACAGACTGGAAAGAAGGACAACTGATCAGGATACCAAAAAAAGGCGACCTAAGCAAGTGTGATAATCACAGGGGCATCAGTCTTCTCTCAATACCAGGAAAAGTCTTCAACAGGGTGTTGTTAAACAGAATGAAGGACTCCGTAGACACCCAATTTAGAGACCAACAGGCTGGATTCCGTAAGGATTGACCATGTACTGACCAAATCGCAACTCTGCGGATCATTGTGGAACAATCAATTGAATGGAATTCATCACTCTACATCAACTTCATTGACTACGAGAGAGAAAGCATTTGATAGCGTAGACAGGACAACGTTATGGAGGCTTCTTCGACACTACGGCCTATCTGAGAAGACAGTAAATATCATGCGGAATTCATATGATGGATTAAACTAAAGGGTCGTGCATGAAGAACTCACTGACTCGTTCGAAGTAAAGACCGGTGTCACACAAGGTTGCTGACTCTCACCCTTTCTCTTTTTCCTGGTGATCCACTGGATCATGAAGACGTCAACATCTGGAGGAAAGCACGGGATACAGTGGACAGGCAGGATGCAGCTGGACGATTTAGACTTCGCAGATGATCTGACTCTTCTATCACAAACGCAACAACAAATGCAATAAAAAATGACTAGTGTAGCAGCAGTAGGCCTCAATATAAACAAAGGGAAAAGCAAGATTCTCCGACACAATACAACATGCACCAAACGAATTACACTTGACAGAGAAGCTTTGGAGAACGTGGAAACCTTTACATATCTGGGTAGCATCATTGATGAACACGATTGATCTGATGCACATGTGAGGGCGAGGATCGGCAAAGCGAGAGCAGCATATTTACAACAGAAAAACATCTGCAACTCAAAACAATTGTCAACCAACACCAAGATCAGAATTTTCAATACAAATGTCAAGACAGTTCTACTGTATGGGGTGGAGACGTGGAGAACTACGAAAGCCATCCTCCAGAAGATACAAGTGTTTATTAACAGTTGTCTACGCAATATACTTCGGATCCGATGGCCAGACAGTATCAAAAACAACCTACTGTGGGAGAGAATAAACAAGATTTCAGCGGAGGAAGAAATCAGGAAGAAGCACTGGAAGTGGATAGGAAACACATTGAGGAAATCAGCCAACTGTGTCACATGGCAAGCCCCCACATGGAATCCTGAAGGCCAAAGAACAAATTACGTCGAGAAATGGAGACAGACATAGGAAAAATGAACAAAAATTGGATAGAACCAGAAAGGAAGGCTGTGGACAGAGTGGGTTTGAGAATGCTGGTCGGCAGCCTATGCTCCATCGGGGGTAACCAACGTAAGTAAGTATATAGTTAAATAATTACAAATCACCTATCCAGATGGACCAATTAAACACATTATCCCAGTAATTTTCTAGGTCAGTGATTTTACATATTAACAGATTGTTTGCAGTTTTAACACTCATATTAGAATCTTTCCTTAATGTTTACAAATAAACTGTCAACTGACAGATAACCAATTTTTGCATATTAACTTTTAATTCGCTTATTAAACCTAGGTAATTTTGTAGAGGCACGAGGTGGAATTAGTAAATTATAGTTAATCTCCAGATGTCTTGTATTCCTAATTAATCCCTTTTCTAGTTCTCTTAATCAAGGGAATTTTTTACAGTGGTTGAAGCAATTTACTGGAAAATTCTATCGATAACTACCAAGAAAGGTTTTTGTTCAAATGCACGATGCTACTCACTAAATTGCGAGTAGTTCATATCGTTTACAAAAATCGTTAGCTTTCCATAAATATAACCGGTTTATTCAGGATAATGGAAAATCATCTCTTCCTTATTTACTATTATTCTTTGTGTTCCTCATTTATATTTATCAAAGTTTGGCTGATAATTTGGAACTGATTAGATTACTCTACCTACACTTGCCTAGTTAACTAAGTCGCATTCATTTTGACAAATAAGTAGAGTGTTTCTCAATAGTTCGACGCACCTATAGAGTAGCCCTTAGGTTATTCATCATCCTTGTCGACGAAACACATGTGTTTTGCCAATGTATTTATGAACTCGAAACTTTCATTAATCCATAAGATATTCTACACAATAATTATATAATATAACTACGGCTCAGTATTCTAAACTTGACATTTAACCAATAAGCAATCAGTTTAAACTTATCTCAGTAGTAATATTTTGTGCTGCTAAGTCTTTATCACTTTATTTGGCTCAGGTTTGTGAAGTAAAATCTACACAACAGTATCATGTCTTCTATCGTCTGTTGAATTGGCTCATATCAATTTGAGACGTATCACTTTAATGAGCAAATCTAAATTCTTCATTATAAAAAGACAAAATGCTTTTTACAATTTGTATTATTAATCGTTTTTTACATACACTTTTTCACTATTAACAGTAAGTAAGGAGGTGAATTTAAAATAAAGAAAAAATATGTTTTATACAAGAATGAAAAACAAACCATATATATATGATGTAACCATGCATAAAAATGAATTAATGAATGATAATGAGGTAACTGATCCTCCTAGTTTGTTTCTCTTCAATGATCGATATCTTTTTTTTGTTATTGATAGACACCATGGAGATGAAAGTTTGTATTCATATTTAAATATTACCTAGTTTTTATTTTATTTTTAAAAAGGTTATTCGTTGCAAATACATAAACATATAAATAAAAAATAAAAGAAATTGAAACATTTTCTTGTATCTAAATGCCTATACTTTAAGAATTCGATAAATGTAAAATATAGATACAGTAAATATAAAAGTATAATGTGTTGTTGTTGAAACAGATAGTAATGTACTTGAATTACATCCATTTTTATTGTTACAATTACAATATCGTACTTTAACACGATAAGTACCCAAACGATCTATACACCAACGACCATCCTCTGCACCAATTACACCGGTTACAGCACAATCTCTATAATAACGTCTAGTCCATTTTCCATCTAGATACACTGTAAAAACAAATGGATAGGATTATTTTTATATAAACATTTGTAGTATTATATAGATAGTAATGAAGCAATGCTGAGGATAGACTCAATATACTAAGTAAATATTACAAATCGATTGACAAGGTAGTGAATCTTTATCGATTGAGATAGTTTAGAAATGTATTACGTGTCCCCAACCACGGTATGTCTCAACGTGTGATATTTCTTGGTGTGAGAGTAAGTTTGAAGAATCCAAATCAGCACATGGCATCAGTCCATAAAATTACTGACTGTCGAGCCGAGCTGTGTAAGTAAGTACAAACTACCCATTTGAGGTCTACGAGGTTATCTTGGCTCGAAATAGGCCTTAGTGATACACACAAATTCTCTTATTTCTTAAAATACCCAGACCTTTCATCTCTTGGGTTCATTATTTCCTCATGAATCATTTTTTCCATACTTAATATTTTCTACCATTTCTGATACTGTTAATACTTCTACTACTCTATTATCTCTCTGATGATATGCTATGGTAATTTTGACCAACACATATGTGTGCCAGACTACCAGGGTGCTTTGAATGGATTCCCTACTGAATCATGAAAGTCAGTAAAACAAATGATAAATAGATATTTATATTGTCATTAAGGTACTGAGAGATATCTATGATGTAGAACTATATTTCTACACATCACAACTTGTGATTGAAACAAATTCTATGGTTTGCTAACAAACAATTAATGTTAACGAATCAATCCATAAAGTACTAGTGAAATAGTGAGTGCACTCCTAAAATTTAAGGCAAATTATGATGTGTTAAAAGCAAACATAATTTAATGACGCAATTTGTTTTAGCAATAACACTCCAAGACAGCACGCTGATCACATATAAGCTTCTCAGTTAACTAGTAACCTACTTGTAGTGTAGAAAAATTGGGAGTGATCGATTCTTCTTATGAGGTGCTGGCGAGTCAACTCACTTTTTGTAACACCAGTGCTTCGAAAGTATTTATTTATCAGGTATTTGACGACAGGGGAACACACTAAGGTAGTTGCTATAGCGTTCGCAAATACTCTACTTGTATTCCTCAAAACGTACGTGTACTTTGTACTGGTTTATTTAACTACGAGGAAACTCCTTGGATGAAATGCCAGAATTTGAATAACCATGAGTGATTTTTCAGCTCAAAGACAATATGTACAATCAACAAAACACTTGTTAAAGTCGACGTTGCAGACTGTAGCAAAATACATCTAGCCTCTAAAGCAACATTTTTGTTATATTACAGGATTTTATTCATCTACTTAAAAATAAAATACATGTTTTAACTGCATAAGTCATTTGGTGAAGTATTGTGTACCCTTAAAAAACCATCACTCATTGTTTAAATTAAACATAAATGATGATAAACATTTGTTTTAGTGTCAAGCTAACAGATAAAGAATATCGATGAAAAATGAGACGATCTCAAGATGCGTGAACATATCATCTTTGTATTTTAATAGATAGTGAATTGGTTAACTATGCAAAGTAAAACAAGGATCTATTCCTATCTCTCCACTGGATTCGGGTCTCTTTTTACTCACTATCTCAACAAGTAGCTATTCCGTTGAGCAACCCCACTTTCAGTTTTGAATAATCTATCATTCTAAATGAGCTCGTTTACTACACACGATTGTGTTAGGTTGGCCTTTAATTACCATTATAATGAAATGGATCAGCACTAAAAAGGACTTGACACGCATGACATTGATCACCACCCAGTGATCAATCAATTGCGATAATGAAATGGACTATTTTCCCTATTATTAATGGCTTTATTCAACGTCGTATTTTTCATACAGTGTACAGTTCTCAGCAGAAATGAACGGCTGAAAATCTTTCTAGAGTGTACTCTTATAATGCATCTATCAATGTAATGTTATGAAAATTAGTCTGTCAAAACGAACCATTTTTACTGAGTCTGTGGTTCAGAGGAGTAGTCATATAACCCAGTAGACTAGTTACACTTGATGACTAAGTAGACTTATTCTTATGCTATAGTAAAGTGTGTTTGTACATTAGGTAGTTAATTTTTCAAATGTTGAGCGTTACTCACTTAGAACCATTCATATTTGAATACGGATCAATGTAAATCAAATACATTAAACTTTATTTGTTCAAGTATTTTTGGATATGTTTTTGATGCTTAATAAGCACTTGTCTATGGTCACCCTTTTCTTTTTTAACATCAAGCTATATCAGCTTTTTGTCAACTTATGACAATCTGTCGATGACTCTTCCAGTGTTGAGACGAAATATAAAACTTGTTTGCAAAAATAATAGATGGACTAATGACAATAAGCTTGAAGTGAATTTAGTCATTTTTAGCGATCCATAAAACCACTATCCCCATACCAGTCTTGTTCATTATCCGATGATTTATTTCATATTTGTGACATCTAGATAACAATAAGTATACAGTAAATATATGTGACCTCTGCCTCACTTGTGCATTGTCCTTTATCTACCTTTGATGTAGACTTTTTTAGGAAAAGAAATGTGTCTAGCACAACAAACTCACAGGACCGTCACAAAAAATGCCTAATAAGTGAATTCAAAGCCCATAAAACATTAAACTGAGCCAGAGGACAAAACCTACACTCATAGCTGTCATTAAGAGCGACGAACTTTCAACATTAAATTGGTATTTACAGTACGTTGATTAGTTTCTGTTTAAAAGATGATATAGTTACCATAAACACAAGTTCTAAAAATATATAAAAACTAAGGGGCATGACCCAATTGGATAGTTTTGTTTACACAATTACTTAATTGCTACTGAACTATTATTGGCTTAACACAGTGAGCTTAAAAACTCACATGAATATTACGAACTCAAATAGTTGGTTCCTTTTATGCGTTGTATGCACTTGCACCTCCGAAACAACTATTTTACACATTTTACATTGAAGGGTTCCGACAAAAACCGCCGAATATATTGGTAGTAAAAATTGTTTGTTTAAATTTTATAAACTTTCTCCATAAATTTACATTTGAGTCAACGTTGTCCCATGTAATTAACGTGTATACCACGGAACTGATGGTCATCGTAACTACAAAAAGTGTAAGCGATCAACAAGTTTCCTTAAGACCAATGTCGTAATTCTGTGGCAAATATTGAGCTAATATGAACGCAATTACCGGAACCTCTTTCAAGCTTACCAGTGACTGGAAATTTTTATAGTCATATTCATAGTTAGGCAATTTTCAGTAAAGTTCAAGGCAAGAACAAAATCAGCATGTTAATGAAGATCCATTTAGAAAAGAGGTAAGAATTAACTTATTCGGAAAGAAAAACCGGGCTAACTTTTGCGTAATAAATAAATAATGAAACAAATTGTCATAGTTGAACATATCGTACTAGTGAGTCATTACAAAGCTCATAAAATTTTCCCAAAATAATCGCTTGATATATCAAACCACGTTTGTTGCTAAAAATGATGGCCTAAAACTACCTGCTGATTGATATGTTATTCGTTGAAAATTAGAAACAGATGGATAAATGTAGTTGAAACAGCACCCTTAGAGACAAATCCTACGGTTAACTATTATTATAAAATTACTTTAATAAGATTGAGGTTGGTAATCATGTCATACTTTGCACATTTTCCCTGCAGATCAGAACGGTTTGATATTCCAGGGGGCACAAGTAAATAAAGATTAGTTTAACACTACATGATGGTCAACTGGAGATTGTAAGACGATAAAAATGTCCCAAAGAACTTATATAGCTAGACAATTCTGAATACTGTGGGTCATTAACTTGATTTGTTGCACTATTCTACGGGAAAAATTCAGGCTTTGAGACATTCTAAACAGCCAAGTTTTGAGTATTATAATCAAATTTTGAAAAAAAGTGGGCAACATCATTTTAAGCTAACTCAAGTTTGTCAGTGTTGTAGCCGAACATTAGACATTTTGTGTAATAGATTAAAATGAAGTAAAGAGGTGAGAAAGAATGTGGTAGAAACGAAAGAAAATGGTTTTAAAAAAACGCTATGTTTAAACACACAGCTTATTAAACATTTCTCCTTCAAAAAAATAAAGACGTAAAAATTCATTGAATTGTTTACATATTTTCGCACCATAGTTTGCCATTTCTTTTGTCATTGTTTTGTACAAAAGATATATAATACCCTAAAAATTTACTGAAATTTCTACAAAACCCCTCCTAAATTTATTTGCTCGTAGAATTGCATGAACTAGCGCCTGATCTAAGGAATACGAACTTATTAACTTAGGTGAGACAAAATAAAAATAGCCAAACTCGTACACTTACTTTCTTGAATCATTTTGACACATCTAGAATAATTTCTTCCATCATTTGGACAGGCGACGAGTGGAAAAGTTCGATTATCAAAATAGTCTGCACAGTGAGGTTGTGTTAGTGAGTTGCATTGATAGCAACGCAGTTCTGGTCCGATGCCTAATACCATGCATTAATTTAGAAAAAACATTAACAGAAGATGTCCCACCTACTTGGCATACAACTGTCGAAGTCATTATTATAACTAAAACGATTAACAGCATTATTTCCGGGATTTGAATATGTACCATTTACACTAGACTACTCACATGGCCTACTAAAACAAATTCAATAAGACTCCGTATTAAATTGATGGGACAAAAAACTTGAAACATCGAATGTCTACTGTTGCTGTTAGCAAACTATCTTTATAATCTCACCAAATAAATCGTATTACCAGTATTAAACAAACTGGAACAAAAGTGGCTATTATTGACCTGGTTTTTTGTACAGGAGTTAGGATCTTTACCAATGTGTCCCAATGGTTCGGTCCTTGTTAACGCTGATGCGACGAGGCTTCATTTCAACGATTGTTCATGTCATGTAAACCAGATGCTGTTATGATTCGTTTGTCACTGTAGTTGTAAATAATTCTCTAAAATTAATAGCTCATTAAGTGTTCGACATTGGATGCTGACCACATTGTTTTAAGTGGACTTGTTTAGTTGAGGTCGTTCGGTCATGCATACGCACTAGATCACGTTACAACTTAGCGTGGGAAACAGCTAATACGTTCACTAGCCGGCTTAGAATAAACGCTTCGCGATATATTGATAACGTATGAAATATCTTTCCTACCTCTTCTCGTCTGACTTCTGATTTTAACCAAGTGGGGGACTATACGAATATGGGTGTTACTGGTTAATAGTTGTCAAACTATAATACTGGTCGTATCCTCATCACTTTTTTTAGAACATCTTGATAGGAAGATCTGGAAAATTCCAGTTCTCCAGCCATTATCTATACTGCAAAAATAATTATCAATTATCATCAAAAGTAGGGGATATTCATTAAGATTGCGAGGAAATCCATTGCTACTGAAGCAAAATTACTAGGCGAAGAAACCGAAAATTCTACTTCCATGAACAACAAACCACTGAAGATACCACAGGTATTGTAGTTTGAAAACACTTCTCCAGCAACAACTTCGATAATCGAATCGTTTGTTTTAGTAGATAAACTATCACTTCTCATTTCCACACCACCTTTATTTTAAAACGTTAGCAAGAGTTAGGCCTCAACGACACCGAATTTCTATGTTTGATACTCGCTGACAACTTGAAGATACGACTAGTATTCTGATTTTACAACCTGCTACCAGTAGCACCTTCTGTATGCGAAGCTTTCCCCCAACCAATGGATATCAGAAGTCAGACGAGAAGAGGTAGGAAAGATGTTTCATACGTTATCAATATATCGCGAAGCGTTTATTCTAAGCCGGCTAGTGAACGTATTAGCTGTTTCCCACGCTAAGTTGTAACGTGATCTAGTGCGTATGCATGACCGAACGACCTCAACTAAACAAGTCCACTTAAAACAATGTGGTCAGCATCCAATGTCGAACACTTAATGAGCTATTAATTTTAGAGAATTATTTACAGCTACAGATCACTCCCCCCTAGTGAGGTAGTGATGCCCCTAAGACGTGACCAGCCAGAAGTTTAAAGCCAACGAGTTTGTCGTTGGTAAACATTCTTTTGATAGCTTGCTTCGTTCAGCAGCTTCTGGCCGTCTTTCCTTACACTAAGGGACCATAATGTACAACACAGCAATAAGGAAATAAAGTACAATGAAAATTTCGGTTCCTTGTGAAACTTAGTCGTTCTTTTCCAGTCGTCCTGGGAAAGAAAAAAAATAGAACGTGTGAGTGCATGTCGAAAATACATTCGTACTTGCGTAAGGACACAAGATGAGCGGAATATATATATATATATATATATATATATATATATTAACTAATACGCTTGCGACAGTGTAAAAGCGATTAGCAAAAAATGGGTTTTTTGGGTTTTTTTATATAAATATATATATATATACGCTCATAAGTAAAAAATGTTTTGTTTTTGTTTTTTGAAATAAGTATATATAAATAAGAATGAGGATATTTAAAAAAATTATTTTTTTTCATAATAAATAATGAAAAGGGGATTCAAGATTCAGTCTGTGTCCTACGTGCAATAGTCGTTTAGATGTTCTGGAAATCTTGCTCTTCTTCCAGAGTTTAAGTTTATCTTTCGACGTTGGCGAAGTATCAAGGTGTGTATCGGCTGTTGTATGGGGTACTACAAGTGTAGGAGCCGTATCGTTCGATTGTACCGAAGGGAAATCGACGTAGCGAAGGTTTCCTTCCAAGTACGCTGCTTTTAGCCGATCGATACTGATGCTATCGTTCGTGCCGTTCTTATCGACTACATAGTACTTGGGTTCACGTTGAAGAACTTTGAATGGTCCTTCGTATGCTGATTCGAGGGGTCGTCGATGTGAGTCTCGACGAACGAAGACGTGTGTGCTATGACGTAATTCAGGTTGAACGAAAACATTAGTTGATTGAGGTCGAGTGTGAGCAGGTTTAACTGAACGCATAACGTTTGTAAGCCTACACGTGTAAGAGTTTAGATCCATGTTCAATGAAGAAGCCGAAGGATCTACGAATTCTCCTGGAAATCGGAGTGTCGTTCCGTAAACGAGTTGAGATGCAGTGTATCCAATGTCAGTCTTCACTGCATTGCGGATACCTAGCAAGACGAGTGGAAGAGCGTCTGTCTACTGTGAAACGTTTGTAGCTGATAATGAAGCTTTAAGTTTTCGATGAAAACGTTCTACCAACCCGTTTATTTTTGGTGGTAGGCGGTCGTTCGGAAGCGAGTGATTTCTAATAGTGTGGTCAGACAACGGAAAAGTTCAGATTCGAACTGGCGTCCGCGGTCTGTAGTGATGGTTGAAAGGCAACCGAAATTTGCTACCCATCATTCGATGAAAGCGCGAGCCACTGTTTCAGCAGTAATGTCCTTGATAGGTACTGCTTCTGGCCATCGAGTGAAACGGTCTACGCATGTTAAGAGATATGAGTATCTGTTGGAATCGGGTAAGGGTCCTACCAAATCTAGATGAACGTGGTCGAAACGAGCGTCAAAGGTTTTGAAAGAGCCTAAGGGACATTTGTTGTGTCTTATGACCTTAGATTTATGACAGCTTACACAGGAGCGTGCCCACTACCTCACGTCTTTATTCATGCCAGGCCAGCAAAACCGTTCGTCTATAAGCTTGATTGTTGCACGAACACCTGGATGAGAAAGATTGTGCAACGTATTGAAGACGTTGCGTCGATAATGTCTTGGCACGACTGGACGATCTCTACCTGTAATGTGTCACAAAAAAAGGTTTCCTTGCCTATTACCATCTGCTTAATACTTAGTTTAAGAGTTGTTGAGGATAACTCATGCTGAGGATCAATGTCTTCTTTCTTGGAGCTGAGCGAGTTTAAGAAGGTCGATATCTTGGAGACTGTTCAAGGAACTTATTCGAGACAAAGCGTCTGCGACTACATTGTTTGCTACCGAAATGTGTTGTATGTTTGAAGTAAACTGCGAAATGTAGTCGAATCGTCGAGACTCTCGCGGTGAGTACTTGCCTGAGGATGAGCTTAAAGAGAAGGTAAGAGATTTGTGATCGGTAAAAAGCGTGAATTCTCTTCCTTCGATAGAATGTTGAAAATGCCGTACAGAACAATACATAGCTAGGAGTTCCCTACCGAACGTGCTGTACCTAGATTCCACGTCTAGCAACCGTCTCGAGAAAAATCCTAAAGGTTGCCAATAGTTGTTAATCCATTGTTGTAAGATTCCTCCGATTGCTGAGTCGGATGCATCTACGGCGATACTAATGGGCGCTTGAGTGTCTTGATGTGCACGCAAGGTTGCCTGAGAGATATGTTGCTTAACTGTGGAGAATGCTTTACGGGCTGTGTGGTCTAAACTAATTGATTTTGCATTTCCACGAAGTTGGTCGGCTAACGGTTGTTAGTTATGTCCATAACTAACCAATCAAATCGTTGCTTAAGCTCCCACCACGTCAATCTGATTTCATATGTCTGTAAACTATCCCTGTTGCATGTGACTTACCAATTGAAAGACATTATTATCCTATTATATTAGTGTGACTCATAAATTTTATTCATTTTATTAAGACACGCAATACTGGTCGGTATGTTTGTGCATTTCACTTATGACTGTAATTCTTTAATTATTGTACTAATCTAATTGTTTTTATGTTCAGAAACAGATAAAGTTTAAAGCCAAGTTGTCCTTGTTCTGACTATAGCTTTCACATAGACTCTGGGATCGCCAATATCGCGTTTACAGTTTAATAGTATATCTGTAGGACAAAATAAATCCTACATAGTTTCGACCAGTATCTCATCAAAAATTCACACATTGAATACTGTTAAATGTCGATGGAGAATCATAAAACGGATCAGATTCCTGAATTGTCTCCCCACTATTCGGAAACTCATAATGATCAATTTGGAGAAAATAGCTGTCGAATGGATCCCTTGTTAGAGTTAGAGTTAGCCAAAATACGCTTGGCTCAGACAGAAAGAGAAGTTGAGTTAGAACAGTTACGTCAAAAAGGAAGAGAACATTATAATCAAGTTATGGCTGACAAGATGATGTATAAGTCTACATTTGCTTCATCTGCAGTTGATATTCCTCCTGGAAAAGTCTGGATAACTATGATATCTAGAGTTTTAGACCTACCAAAGAGAGAGATTATAAGGTTTGATGGTAATCCCATGAACTATTGGAGTTTCATACGAAATTTCGAAGACTGTTTTGACAAAAGAGTTGGATTCCGATCTAGGTTAAACTATTTGATTCAGTATTGTGATGGTGAAGCTAAGGCTACCATTGTTCACTGTGCATTGCTTAAGCCAGAAGAAGGCTATCGTAAGGCGTTAGAGCTTCTCGAGGAAGCATTTGGTCAAAAGCATATCGTGGCCCATGCATTTATTGATAAGATGCTGAATATACCTGCTATTAAGGGAACTGATCCAGATAGTTTAAGAAGACTGTCTCGTGATATGTATGTCTGTGAGCTCACACTTACGCAGATGGACTATGTATCCGATCTTAATTCTACAAAGACCATCGAGTGTATGTTCTTTAAACTCCCACTGCATTTACAGAGAGAATGGGTTAAAGTTGCATCTAGGATTCTTAAGACAGGTAGAGAGCCTTTATTCAAGGACCTTTGTGAATTTGTGAAGG